AATGATGTGAGCATTGAAGCCTGAGATTAAAGCATTCTTTTTATTTTGTGAATGATATTGTTTTGGAAAGGCCCTTGTAAGATGAGAATGAGGTTGAATGATTTGGGAATGAATAGAGGGCTGAGGAAGGAAGTGGATTGTGAACTGACTAGGATGTATGGAGAGGACGAGTGTGAAATACCTTTTGATGGGGTGGATTCAGGAATGCTATTATGTGGAGAAAAGGTGGAGGACAGCAGGAGGGAAGGATTGTTTGTTGATGGAGACGATGGAGATATGCATATTAAGCAGAAAAGAGTGATGAGTATGAAAGAAGGTGTGTGTGAGGTGATGACGAAGAAGGAAGATGAAAGGTTTAATCCGTATGAAGATAATTCAGGAACCACGGTATGCTTGAAGCAAGAAGGATTCATTGTTATTTCGGCAGACACAAGGCACTCTTCAAGCATGAGCATAAACTCGCGTGAGATGTCGAAGATCTACCGGATTGGGGATTTTTTTCTTACGGCAACGGGATTTTATGCAGATGGACATGAGGTGTATGTTAAGATGAAGTATGAGATGAAGAAGTACGAGAATGATGGCCGGATGAGCATACACAGTGCAGCGAATATGCTTTCGAAGATTCTTTACTCGAAGAGATTCTTCCCATACTATGCATTTTGTACTCTGAGTGGATTTGAAGACGGAAAACCACATATATATGAATATGATCCTTTAGGATCGTTTGGGTCGGTGACCTGCATTTGCAACGGGAGCGGGAAGCCGATGATACAGCCGCTTCTTGATTCGTTTATTGACAAGAAGAACTGGCACGGTGCAAGCATTACGGGTGTGAGCGAGGAGGATTGTGTGAAGCTTGTTGCAAAGGCATTTAATGCAGCAGCCGAGAGGGATGTGAAGACGAAGGATGGACTGGAAATGTATGTTTTGAGGGATGGAAGTGTCGATAGAAGGATGATTGCCTTGAGACGAGATTAAATTCTGTTTGGTTTATGTGTGTAGATTTTTGTGGTATGGATAGGAAGTGTGGAATTATTTCAAAGATAAGTGGCAAGAAGCGAATCCCCATTGATGAGTTTTTTGATTTTTGTGTTTATGCTGTTTGTGTATTCTGAGAGTCTCGGGATCAGATATGATGAATCGATCAGTAAGTGGATGACGTATGAGAGGAGGAGGATGGCAGACAAGACGTTTGATGCGGTGCAGTCGATGTTTGTGATTGAGGAAGGAATGCCGTCTACTGCACTTACAGCGGGTAGGAATGCGATTTTCGGAGCAGTTGAGATGTTTGAGGATGAATTTGAAGGAATACCGAGTGGAGGGAATGTTGAGCGTGCTGAGGAGGGAAGATACAGGGTTAAGGGATATGAAACAGAGATTGATGTGAAGGGAATGAATTATCTGTGTCTGATGACTGGGATTGATGCATTGAGGCATGTCAAGCTGGAGAGTGTGGACAAGGTGGGGATTGCATATAGGACGTATTTTGAAGCGGAGCAGGCGATGATGCTGGGGGAGAGTGTGGCCGATGTAGTTGATATGGAAGAGGTGTATGCTGTGCCTGAATCGCTTTGTGGGCTTGTATCGAAGGTCGGGCACATAGACGGAGAAGCTGAGTTTTTGTGTTTGGTGATATCGATGAGTGGAAGGAAGGGGATGTTTTCGCTGTACGATGTTGAAATAAAGGAGGGTCGAAGGAAGTTTAGGAACCGAGCTCATGTTGAGTTTCCGATGGTGAGTGATGGTGCGATACAGCGGATGGTGTATGACGAGATTGAGGCTGAGCTTAGGAGGGATATACGAAGCAAGGATGAAGTGAGCGATGAGAAGAAGGATGTGACGTTTTATCCGCGGATTGGAGAAGGGCAGGTGTATGATTTGAAGGTTGATATGAGGCCAGTGTACAAGGAGGTCAGCAAGGGGTTGAGGTACAAGGAGATAGTTGAAAACATTAAGATAGTTGAGGGGGTGCCGATAGTTGATGAGGAGGAGAATGTAAGGTATATAGTTGAGGCGCCTGTGTTTAGTACGGGGAGGATACAGAAGGCGATAATGAAAACAGTTGAAGAGTGCCGAAAGGAGATAGAGGAGGTTGTTGAGAAGGTGTATGCAATGGTTGATGAAGAGAGAAAGGAGGGGAAGCAGGTTTCTGTGATAATGCTGTCTGAGTTTAGCGAGAATCCGGTTTTTGACGATATTTTCAAGAGGTTTGGAAAGAGGGAGCATGTGAAGATGGAGGATATTGAGCAAGGAGCAGCAAGGGTGCTGAGGAGCCAGTGCGAAGTTGAGGATGAGAAGTATTTGCGTGTGCAGAGAAGAGGGAACCGAGGAAAGCGGTACCTGGAGGAGGTGAAGCTACGCAAGGATGTAGATGCAATAAGAGCAGAGGTGGAGAAGGAGGGGATTGAAAAGATGTTTGGAGGAGTGGAGTTGAATGATGAAGATGGGATGTTTTTGAGGATTGGCAATATGAATAGTTTTGAAGAGCTAGAGATGGTAAGAAATAGATGGAATGAGTTGAAGAGGATGGAGAGTGAAAGGCAGAGGGAGGTTGTAAACAGGATTAAGAATTTGGAGAGGCTAAGGACAGCGATACAGGAAGGAAAGAAGAAGCAGAAGAAGGTGAGTGAGCCATGGAAGGAGCAGATTGGTGGATATGTTGAGAAGGCAGATTTGGTGTACAAGCAGATGAGCAAAGACATGAAGTCGAGAAGTGTAGATATTGAGGATGCAGAGCTTGAGCTAGTAGTCAAGATGAACATGGCGACTGGGGAGTATGAGGAAAAGATCAGAAAAGAAAAAGAAGCACAGCAGGAGAGTGCCAATGAAAGTAAGGAAGGTGAAGGAAAGGGAGTTGCAAGCGGCGAAGATGAAGTAAATAAAGATGAGCATGAAGGAGGAGAGAATAAGAACTATGCCGATGGGAATAAAGAAGAAGAGAATGAGGAGAAGCAAGAGCTGTAGGATAACTGGTGATCTATTAAAAGCGATTGTTTTAGTGTGTTTAGTGTTTATGAATTGTGAATTGTGAATGTTTGCAGTGAGTTATTGATGGAAGATGAGTGGTTTGTGATGTATGGTAGGATGAGGAGAAGGCAGTGAGCATGCATGGTTATAGTATGGAAAAAAGAGCCCTTGTTGATGGACAATGGCAGGGCGAAATATGAGGCCGAGATTGCGAAGAAGCTTGATGCATTTAAGAATGCAAAGGAGTGGTCTGATTTTATTTCTTTGCTGAATTCTCTTGATAGTACGATCCAAAGATATGCGATTGCGGATGTTCCCAAGAAGAAGCTTTTGTTTAAGCGGTTGAATCAGTGCCTGAATCCAGGATTGCCTGCTGGTGTGCATAACAAGGCGTTGGAGACGTACTCGATGGTGTTTGGGAAGCTTTCGAGAGAGGACTTTGTGGAAGAGTTTGACTTTCTGACTCTTGGGCTTTTTACGTTTTCAGCACACAGCCGGATTCTTGTGACGGGATCGTTTCTGGATGTGCTTGAAAAGCACATTGTTCCGCTTGGAAAGTGCATTGAGGATTACAGTAAGAGTGTTCTGATTGGATTGCTTCCACCGATGGAGTTTGAGTCTGGAGAATACTACAACCGTGCAAGGCTGATGGCGATGGACTTTAGAAAGCTTGTGTCGGCAGAGGTGTTTTATTATTCGCTCTGGAGTATTTTTTTGAATGATGAGAGGCTGAGGATGTCTATATCGAACTATATATTTGAGGCAGAGAAGGAAGATGTGGTGCAAGGCAATATGAAGCTTGTGTCAAGGGCGTTGTGTGTGGGCCTGGCAAGTGAGTCGGCTCTGGTTGTGAGACGATGCCTTGATTTACTGATATATGTGTTTGCGGACACTGGCAGCATTGGGGATGAGGAGATTACCTGTGATCTTGTTGAGGCGGTTGTGAAGCTTTTTGTCAAGAGGGATCTTTCGTTGAACAAGAGGATATATGCATGGATGAAGCTGAATGAAGGAGCCTGCAGATCGGACCTGGTGCTTCTTACGAATGTGATGAGGAGATTTATTTCAAGAAGCAGCTCTGAGGACATGCAATATTTTTTCCGGATCCTGATGACGCTGCAAGATAAAGGGAGCTTATGTGAAGTGATTATGTATAATCTTGTGTTTGAAGTTCTTGGGAGTCTTAGACAGCATAGCAGCGATGATTTTGTAAGTGTAAGGAGTGGAGAGTTTGTAGAGGGGCAGAATGAGAAGATAGATGTTTGGAAGGTAGCAAAAGTGTTTTTGACAAGTGATCTTGATGGGATATGGAGGATGTTTTACATGAAGTTAAGGAAGGAGCTTAGTGGGTATGGAGAGTGTGATATGGTTAGCAGGAGTGTGGAATGCATGAGTGTTGATGGTGCAAGATTGGATTCTGTGAAAGGCCATGATGTTGAATCTTTGAGTATGAATGAATGTGCCTTTACAGAAGTGATCAAAGAGCAGAGAATGAAATGCGATGACAGATATGATGCAAAGGAAATAATGAAGATGCAGTTTGAGACGAGTGTGTTGATTGGTTGTAATGAGATGCTTGATCTTGTAAGGTATGCAGTTGAGGAGCATGCGGTTGTTGATGCGGAGGTCTGTAGGTACCATCTTCCGTTTTTGACTGATTTGGTCCTGCAGAGCTTCCGAATGTTTGACTTTGAAACGCTGCTTAGGTTTTTGTGCCTGAGTGTTGAAGTGATGAAGCTTGAAGAAGGAGACGGCGAATGGCATGAATGTATGCAGGAGATGGTGTATAGGTTCTATATTGAAGAGAACACCGAGCTTTTGAAGTGGATACGGCCTGGACTGCTCTGTGAGATTTCAGCACATCTGGAATGTGTTATTGAATGTGATGCTGAACTGCTACTGCCACTGATGATTGATTTTCTGAAGAGATATGGCGTCAGTGTGTTTTCAGATGAGTTTATGCAAAGATACCATGCAATTGTGCTGAATATGCCTCCAGGTGTTATTAAGAAGCATTTGCAGGTTTATGAGATGATTGACAGCAGCAAGCTTGACTGCCTGAGGATGGTTGAGACATTGTGGGAAAGATTTTGTAGCAGTGGGAAAGGAGCATGCTTGAAGAGGCAGATAGATGATGGGCTGAGGGATTGGAGATATGAATGGGATGCTGAGGCTAATGACATATGTATAGCGAATATAGCAGCAGGCGACGGGGATATCGATTTGATGGAAGCCAGCTTGATGGCACATTGGGATTGCGATCATTGGCTGCTGGCAGAGCTTATATGGCGGTACAACCGTATTTTCAAGGGGGAGTTTGAAAGGTTTCTACTGAAAAAGATAGGAGAGGGCCAAGTTGAAGAGATAGGATGTTTTTTGATTGCGATGATTGAAGAGTTCAAGGGTGGATTTGATTTTATGGAGCTGTACTATGGAATCAACTGCAAGCTCGACTTAGAGAACCAGGTGCTTGATATGTTTTTGTGTTCACTGACGTATTTTGGAGATACATTTCTGTATCTTGTCCGGAAGATGGAGAGATCATGTGTGCAGGTAAGCGAAGGAATGCTTGGTATGCCCGATACCAGCCAGGTTTTTGGGGTGCTTAGATGCATAAGGAATCTGCTGAGGCATTCGAGAAGATTCAGGAGCTTTCTTCGTGAATCAGAAGACTTAATAGAATCAAAGGTATTCTGTCCGGGTGGGAATGTGAATGCGAAGGAGATGGTGTACAGGATGCTTGTGTATTTACTTGTGCATAAGAAAGAATATGAATGCAGACGAATGAACATTGAGGTTGTGCAGATGCTTGAGGTGCTTGTGAGGAGAGGGGTTATGGAAGGGGCTACGCTTAATGTAGTTGACATTTTGCGAATTGCGGAGGTTGCCAAAGAAAACAGACAAGATTCTGTGATTGTTCTTGGGATTGGATCGATACTCCGGCATAGTGGGAATGCGTCTGTGATTTCTGAAGTATGTGGGATTCTTGGCAGCTGGTGCTTCTACTATCATGAGATGCTTGAATATATATTTTCACTGCCTGATAGGCTGCAGAGAAAGGTTCTTGCTGGTGTTATGTCGATGCTGAGGAATGAAGGGTTTGGATTAATGATAGCATGTGAGGTTCTAGAAAGTATGCTGCTGAAGAGAGGCGTTGAAGCGGATCTTCCTGGTGTTATTGATAAGAGCATGAATTTTATGTTTGATTTTTTTGAAAGCCAGTATGAGCCTGATGTTGGGAATGCATGCGGCAACTGTTGTGTGAATGCCGTGGAGGGAATGGCTGGAGACGAAGTGGTTGTGGATAAGAAGTGTGTGAATGCCAGGATGAATGTATTGAAGCTTAAGGCAGCTAAGCAGTTGTCGTTGTTGTTTTTCAAGAAGGTGCCAATAAAGTTTATTGAGAGGCTTGTTGAGCAGCCGTGTGCTCGACTTATAGAAGTGCTCGATTTTAAAGAGCAGCTTTATAGCTCAGTTCTGAATGCGCCTTCGAACAATGCACAGGCATTCAGGCTATTGATGCATTTGAATCAGTTGATAGATGGGCAGGAGCTGATGGAAGTGTTTGAAAAGTCAAGAGCAGTATTTGAGAGGCTTTCATCTTACAGGATTGGCCCATACTACTCGTCACTGCTTTTTGGATTAGATACGCTTTCGAGGCTGAACATGAGAAATACTAACGAGCCGCTTGTGCTGATGTTTCTACAGAATTCTGTGTGTTTTCTACAGAAGCGGCTTGATATTAAGTGCAAAGGCGGGGAAGATTGTTTCAAAGATGAGCTTGAGCTGCTTGATGCGGTTATTGGGTTTGACGAGGGTGTTTCAGGTGTGATGCCTGGGATGGTAAGCGTGATATTTACACTGATAAACTCGAATGATGCTTACTTGAGAGGAAGGGGAATAGGATTGCTTATGAAGATGAGCTCTGAAATTGCTGAGGTGAAGCACTGGAAGCGGGAGTTTCTGGAGGTTTTCCACATGCTTGATTTTTTTTCGCATGAGTTGCATGAGAAAACTGTTTTGATGAAGAAGATAGTTGTTGATGACTCGAATGTGATAAATGAACTTATTGTAAGGCTTGATGGAGGGTTTTTTGTATCCCAGGCATCTGATGCCAACAACAAGGTGCTAGTGCTGAAGCGGATATCCTACATTATATTTTGTGCGCCATACAACCACTTTTTGGGAGTATCGCTGAAGATAGTCGAGAGGATAGCGATGCTTATAGGCCATGTGTCTGCTAGAGTGAAGAGGGAGGTGATGTTTCTGTCGAAGGTTTTGCTCCTGAAGATGTCGCATGACAAGCTTATTAGTCTCTACCCGATACTGTTTTATGATGTCGGAGTGACGATTGAGGAGGCGGTGAATGAGGATCTGGCGCTGCTTGGAGAAGTGCTTAAGCTGCTGGATATTGTTTTTTTGCTGAACACGCCTCAGCTTTCTGAAATCAGCGTGGTTTTTCTTGATTTGCAGAGGAAAGCGGATAGCGGAAGAAATGGAGTTCTTGGAAAGACAGCCATGATAGTAAAACAGGCCTGGAAGATGGAAGTGGATGTTAAAGAGCATCCGATGCCAATGAAGCGGATACCCCTAATGGTGCCTGGGAAGGTTTGTCCAGAGGATATCTTGAGATATATGGACTGTGCAGCCATGTACTACAGTTGGCTGAATGTGAACTGTTGTGAAATAGATTATGAGTATTTGTTTGGCATGATTCTGGATGAGTTGAGAGAGGTTGTTGAATAAATTGTTTATGTTTGCTTGTGATTGGATGATATGAAAATGCCCTGTGCTCTTGGATGAGAGAGGTGTATGCGGTGATCAAGGATGGAGAGAGAAAGTATGCGACTGGGCCTTTTGAGCCTCTTGCTCTTGATCTAGTGCTGGGTCTGAGTGATATAGCAAGCAATGTTTACAAGGACGAGCTTCTTTGTGTTGAATTTGATGGGAATAGGATTGAGGTACTGGCGAAGCCAAAGAATGTGGTGATTGTTTGTGTAGGCAGGAATGATTGTGAACATATGGAGCTTGTATACAGACTTTACAGAGTGTGCAAGGCGTATGAAGACTTTGGATTGATGGAGATTCTTATGGGACGGTATTTGAACTGAAGGCTACTAGGTGTCTCTGGGAATACATTTATTGTAGCGTTATACTAAATTTTGCTGGCCTGGCCATCAATTGAGAAAATAAAAAAAAAGAGAATGCACACCCAAAGAAATGGTAAGTCAGTACAAGCGGATTAATTTGTAGAGCAAAGGAACAGCAAGCTTTGGAAAGAAGAACAAGAGGAACATGGAGATGTGTAGACGATGTGGAAGGCAATCGTATCACAAGCAGAAGAACTCATGCTCCTCGTGTGCATATCCCAATCCCAAGATGAGGACGCCTGGGTCGATAAAGGCAAGGCGTAGGCGCAATATTGGGACAGGAAGGATGAGGCATATGAAGGAAGAAAGGATAGCAGCGAAGAATGGGCACAAAGGAAATCCCATATTGAGGCCGTTGTGGGCTAAGAATTAAAGTGATGTTCTTTGAAATTGTATGCGTTTTGGCTATTGTTTTTTATGAATGTATAAACTTGATGTGTGTTGTGATGGCAGCGGGATGAATAAGGATGTTTTGTCAAGCCCTAATGAGGTTTTTAATGCATGTGGGCAGTGTGGTAAGTGCATTTTTTTATGGAATTGAAAGGATAGCAGAGGCTATAGATGGAGTGGAGCCATATGCAAAGGAGGTGATGCAGGGATGGAACAATACTGTGTATGTGAAGAATGTGGAAAGAGAGATAAGGAAGATGCCATTTCCATTGTTGATTCAGCAGCTTAGCAGTATAGAAGAATTTGTGCTTGAGAGGGGAGGAAGCGTCTATGTGATCAGGCCGTTTAAGTCGATCCGGATAGAATCTAGCAATGGCCGATGGATATTTGGCAAATTTTATGGAATTGAAAATGCAGCAAATGATGAGGTAGTAGTGAAGTATTTTGTGCAAAAGTGGGAAGGAGAAGTGGAAATGTACGATAGTATTAAGGTTGTGTTTACGCCGTCTTTAGGAGATGCCAGGGTGGAGAAGGTGTATAGTGGAAGATCTGAGCTGTGTATATTGCGGGTTCTGACGCCTAAGCTGAGTACGAAGCAAGAAATAAGGATGATGTCGATTTATGTTTCGAACGACAATGAAGAGGAGGGATGCGAAAAGCACTGGATGGATTGCTTGGGATATGAGCCGAGGGATGGAAGTAATAATGAAATGATCAAACAGGAGCTGAGGATGTTTGAGAAATCTGACGATACAAGTCAGCAAGAAGAAGAGAATATAGACACATTGTGATGAATGAATTTGATAATGAGGTACTGTAAACATGTCAGATGCGATGAGCAAATGTTGTGTGCGATATGCGTTGTGTGATGGTGTGGGCCTCTAGTATAATGGCTAGAACAGTTGGCTTCGGACCAATCAGTCTGGGTTCGAGTCCCGGGGGGCCCGTCACTTTTGTATTAGCCTAGGCGTGGCAGTTCTAAATCATAGATACCTGATTAAAAGAATGTGTTTTAGACAATATCCATTTTCTATATTGGATAGTTTGATGAGTAGATACATAGTGTTGGATTACCATAAATGTTTGTTTTATTTTCTGCTCGATTTCTTGCTTTTGATTGAATGCATGAATTTCTCACCAATACTCATGTTTTTCTTTGCCCTTGCTTTCTGAGCATCATTGTTGCATCCTCGTCTTACATCAGCAATCTTCTTTTCTGATTCATTCTTTATGTTCTCAAATAGACTCATAAAATCGTCAATAAACTCCTTATTTTCAAGCAATTCAAGCTTGCCTTTGAGGTAAACCTGGCTTTCTAAGTCAGTGTAGCCATCTTCTATGTTTTCAGGCACATAGCTTATCCAGAAACTGCTTATATCGCTGTACTTTTTCAGAAACGCAACATGTTTCTGCTCAGGACTTCCAAATATCCTGTATCGTGGTGCGCTTTCAATAAGGTACTTTTTAGTGTACTTCAGCCCATAATGTTTTGGTGTTATTGTCTTTTTAAATGCATACATGCAAGGTACTTTTGCTTTCATGCATCCTACCAGGATCATGCTTTCGTTTGGAACAGCACCTAGAATGTATGATGGGCAAAAGTCTCTTTTCAGTGTGATTATTGAGCACAAATACGCAAGAGCATGGTGCCCTGCGGATTTCAAGCCATGCTGATGGACAGAAATCTGATCATTGATGTTTCTTGCGAAATGAAGTTTGAACGGATGTAGCAACACTACCTTTCTGTTTAGCTCGTTTCTTTTGTTGCTAATTATTGCAAAGCACATGATGAGCATCACGGCAACAAACAACAATTCATACAGCATAAGAGAAATAGGATGGGTGCAACATTTTGAAATCAGATGTACATACAAGCAAGGCACACTCACAAGTACATCATATCCTACTGAGAAGTAATGGTGGAGCCCCGTTAGCTCAGTGGTAGAGCATTAGGCTTTTAACCTAAGGGTCGTGGGTTCGATACCCCCACGGGGTGCTTTTATATACATACACGCAAAAACAACTATCTCACTCTGCATCAATAACACGTCTGCTCTTGATATATTTATTTTGTCTATTTGCACACTACAGCAAAACTAGTCATCCATTAGAAGATGCTTACAGTATTCCACAACCTCCACAATCTCATGAAGCCTTTCATTAAGTGTCTTTTCAAGAGTCTCTACTCTTTTCAACATCCATCCTGTACTTTCTTTCTCTTGTTCATATGCATTTCTTAACAAATGCACTTCTTTCTTTAGCTCACTTGTGCTTTCCTCGTTGTTGATCAGATCCCTTCTGAGTGCCTGGATATATGTTCTCAACCGCTGCTCGTTGGACCTAAGCCTGTTGATCTCCTCATATGCACTGCAATTACACCGTTCAGCTATATTTACAGCATCATGAGGCTCATCAACACAACTGCTGTATCTGACTACAATCGAAGGAACTGCACCATCAGAAAAGCTCATGGCTTCGCCAGTCTCGCTGCGTGATTCTGGTTGTAATTGTGGTCCATGGCATGCAGTCTGCACTAAAGAACTCAAACTAGCAACCGAGTCCGAGACATACTTTGTGAGCCCCTGCGATCCATTCATACAAGGATACATACTTGTACATGTTTTACACTTGCGAATATGGCACATGTTTCTGCATTCAAAGTGTGGACACTACACCATTACATCATAAACAGCACCATAACAACCCATCATCCAATTCATATTCAAAAAGTTGCAGCACCCAGGATTCCCGAGTGGTCTCCCGACTCAGTACTAACCAGGCTCGCACAGGCTTAACTTCGGAGATCTGACGAGTTCCGGTGCTTTTCCGTAGATATGGCCGCAACTGTCATCAGTACCCACACACTACATATACCTGTTCTATAAAACAACCCCACTCTCAAACACAACACTCTATCAACCATGTCTCCACTTCCTTCAGCATTAAATTCTCCACATACACCTCTGTATCATCAAACACTTTATTCTCAATCTCTTCCCTCATTATCATCTCCACTATGCCTCTTGCATTTCAATATCTTGGAAACAAACGGCTGCACAACAAACACCGCAATCCCAATGACTACTATGCATAAAACAATCATCACAAACTCACTCATCCCAATCCTTACAAACTTATACTCAGGAAGCCATTCCATAGCAACATCCGGATACTTATAAACTCCAACAAGTAAAAGAAAATTCACAGAAATCATTCCTACAGCAAACACCTTGAACATCACATTACTTGCTGGATCTTGGCAATGAGGCTTGTTGTTGCTCAGGTACATTCCGTTCAAGACATAGATAAACACAGTTCCAAAAAAAACAAGCTCTCCAGATATCGTCTCAACACTCAGAAATGCACTCGGCTTCTCATACACAGACAGCAACAGCAATACGGCTCCCTCTATAGCAACAGTGATACACAAAGGTATGGTGCTCCACTTCGTCGTCAGAAAAACATTCGGCCGCGTCGCAAATATCTTCTTAGACGCTTCAGACCGTGTAAGCATATACGCAATCGGCACAGAAATAAACAAATCTCCATGCATCGTCTGCAAATCACTGAGGAACTTCTTTCTAATAATCAGAAAGACTAACGCCATGTATGCAACCACACACGAAGAAATCACATACTTAAACGTGGAGACTGACGTAACAAATGCAGATCGCCCCTCCCGTATCAGATCAACCACCGATCCTATGTCAGACGACATAAAGCTTGCTGCAAGACTCGCCTCGTTATGTGCAAGCGCAAGGCCCACATCCGCACTACTAAGTGCTCCGCTATCATTTGCCCCATCTCCACAGAACATAATCACACGCCCTTTCGCTTGTAGATTCTCCACAAGAGCTTTCTTCTGCCCAGGGTTAAACCTTGCAAACACCGCCCCACGCTCTAGAATAAACTGGAAATAATGGGTGTTTCTGAAGAAATCAAACTCCCTTCCCTCACAGGCAACCACAAAGTCCGTACTGGATCCCCGATCATTCTCTCTGTACAGACTGAGCCTTACTTTGTCGAACGTAAACTCCTCCTCATCTCCAACACACAGCCACTCCACATCAAAAATCGAATCTGCATTCTCCTCAATAACAGGAAATATAACAGGCATGAATTCCTCGATAATCCCACACTCCCTACCAACAGAAATCGCAGTCAGAATATTGTCTCCCGTGCACATCACATTTCTAATCCTTGCCTCGTTCAGCTCGTCAATAGTTCTTCTTGAATCAGCCTTAAGCTTGTTCGAAAACACTACCAGAGCAAGGAAGCTCAGCTCAGACTCATCCGTGCTTCTGTCTACACTTTCAGATACCTCCTTATATGCCAACGAAATCACCCTATATCCGCCCAGAGAATACTCTCTAACCTTCTCTTCATATCCATTTGGTACCTTCTTCAAAACAGAACGTATCGATTCAGGTGATCCTTTCGAAAAAACACATTTCTTCCTTGCATACTCCACAACCACACTCATCCTTCGTATGACAGAGTCAAATTCATAGCTCTTTACTATTGTCACATTAATCTCCTCATCAATCTCCTTTTTGCATGGCCCTTCCTCCCTCGAACCAATCTCATCAGAAGCCTCGCATTCCCATGTCCTTTCAACCCCAAGGCTTGTCGAATACGCATCTTGCATGTCCTCATCGCTTATCCCGTGCTTCCCGTTCCTGCCCTTCTGATAATACACCGTGCCATCAGTGTCATTGTACTCCTTAAGAATCGGTCCGTATATCTTGCTATGCCCTCCAACAACTACGCTTCGCAGATTTTCATGCTGCACAAGCCTAGAAGACGAAAAAATAAACATCTTTAGATCCAGAGAGTCACCCGAATATTTCCCATCCAGTTCATAAACAAGATGGCATGTGCTCAGCCCAATCCTTGCCGTCATACCCATCTCCTCAATTTCGTTTGTTGATTTCTGCAGATCATCGATGCACAGAATATCAAGTCCTTCACACGTCAACGTTCCCGTCTTGTCAAACACCACTGTGTCAACTCTTCCTGCCAAGTTAATCCTATCAAGACTGCTGCAGTGTATATTCCTTCTCAATAGCTTTTTGTAGCACAGCTGCGTCCCAAGCCTAAGATATATTGGAAGCGCAGGATTGGCAAGCGTAAAAAACAGGTCAATGCTGTATGCAACATTCATCCTGCCAGAAAACCCCATCGTATCAAACACAAATGCCATAACAGCAGTCAGTACAATAGCTGCACACAAAACACCGAAAATAGCAAGCTCAGCCTCCTTAACAAACCTGTTCACTACAGGCCTTGCATTCATCATATTCTTCAGAATCTGCCCACGTGCTGTGTGGAACCCCGTCCGTAGCACAAGCCCAATTGCAAAGTTCTCAAACGCATCAATTGACCCTGTAACTCCAACAGTCCTGGGCTTGTTCTTGTTTGTTAGGTTCCTAACCCTGCACAGATTCCCTCCTCCCATGCATGATGACATAGGCATGGTGTTGATGCTCTTTAACACTCCGGTTCCAGAATATATTATCGACTCTTGGTCTGCATTCTTGTATATCGGCACCGTCTCCCCCGTTAGAAGACACTCGTTTGTTATCGCATCGCCCCGTATCACCAATGCATCGCAGAGAAACTCATTGCATGGCTCAATGTATATCACATCGCCAGGATAAACCTCCCGGCTGTCTACTTGCACAAACCGCCCTGCACGAAGCGTCCGCACACTCTGTTTCTTCACAAGCCGTTGCATGCTGATGGAATGGCGGATGTCCTCCCAGTTCGTAAATACAAACGAATACATAACAATCATGCCCATTGCCATTGCATATCTGGCATAATCAATCTCATTCCATACAAGCACACATGCAACATTCGACATAAAAGTAACACTCAGCGTGTTTTTCACAAGAATTTCAAGAATCCCCAGAACCGGCAGATTCGTTATGTTCTTCCCGTAAAAGACATTCCTCAGCACATACTCCGCCATCTCCTTTTCGGGAGACTTGGAAACCTCGCCACTATAAAACTCCTCAAAGCTCCTTTCAAGTGCCTTTTGCTCAGGTGGAACAACAAATCTCTTTGCAGGCACATCGTATATCAACCTGTAGAACCGTGATTCAATCACACGTGCCTTTCCGTCTTGTGCATATCTTTGAAGAGCATACACACCCATCGTTTCATACAGTCTGACATCAATAAACTCCTCTTGCCCATTGTGATGCGTGACTATCACACAGTCTGCATCTGAGATATTGCATCGAGAGCTGAGTATGACTTTCTTGGCGCTTCGGACATACTTACAGATCATGTACAGCATCCCAAACGTTACTACACACAATACATTGTAGAGAAGCACAGGCACCCGTCTTTTGCGCCCTTCAACACTTACAAAGGGCCTTTCCTGCTTTATTGCTACGAACATTCCAAGGGCGATCTGGATCAACGAATTTTCCACTTCCTATTGATCTGCAAAATAAGGAGATAACCTGGGCTCTGCGGGATCACGACATGTTTATGGCTTGGCGCTCATCCTTCGCACAGAATAGTCTCTTAGATCTTGAACAGAGATTCTCCAGGTCCAAAACACCGCTATACAACGCCGAAGCAGCAACAAATCGCATTGTGTGTTTCACTACACACATGTATTAATAAAGGCATGCTATTGAGTGATCAATTGCACCACACACGACATTAAACGGGATCCAATTGAATCCTCTGTGCCCTTGGCGAGTGATAAATAAAAAATACATGACGGAATGAATTGTGAATGACTTCGTTTTGCTTGGGAAACTCATACGAGCTGGTGCTTGCTGTAAAGACTATATTTGACAGAAGAAATTTGCTAGTCGATGCAAGCAGAACATCGTTGCTTCTTGTATTCTCAGGTGCCATACTTATGGTGTTCCAGGGTCAAGTGTACAAGAACATTGCTCTTTCAATAGTGGTTGCATTATCAATGATCGCAATGGATCCGACAATATGCACCAGAATCGTGCAAATCGATCAAGCCGGGATTCTTTCAAGCATAGTCGAAATTTTCAATAGGGCATTGCTAAGACAGCTGTTTTTCTGTGCATTCTGCATTTTCATAGCACTAGTCACAAACGCATGCATGGCACCGATTCTGTGGCTGATCACTGCAATTGTTGGGTCATCGCTTGCAAATAAGATCTTTACGAGTGCTTTGGTCAAAACTGGATCCGGAGAGATTGTCTCGCATCTTATGTGTCTTTATGTGCTTGTTTTGATTGCAGAGAGGTTTAAGCAGGTCAAGAATATCTTATATGCATCTTTCTTCAGTTTTATTGGTGTAATGCTGGTATGGATTGATCTTGAGATTATTCTGAGCCGTGACTTGGGCGTGGATGCAATAAGTCACGTGATTTGGAAGTCGCCCATGAAGATTTTCAAGATACCTCAGGCATATCCGTTCATTGCATTGATGGGGATTGGAATAGGCTTCCAGATGAGGATGAGAGGGTTGTTTGTTGCACTGAAGAAATGGAGACGAAGAATGGCCGTGGTTATCAGAAGGAGCGAGAATAAGATAATAGAGGCTTGAGCGATGCAGATTAGTGGGGTGTTGAAACCAATAAATATTTATATGTTACATGTGTATGGTATTGCTAAGAAGAGTTTTTGATGCTGTTAAGTATGCGCTATGAAACACACGCTGCGTGCTGTTGTTCTTTGGAGGGGGGTTAGCTCAGTGGTAGAGCGCTTGCTTAGCATGTAAGAGGTCGCGGGTTCAACTCCCGCATTCTCCAGGCTTTTTGGGTTCTTTTCGTATTCAGATCTGTCTTTGCATTGCTTCCGAATGTCGTGCTTTCGGTTTTACCAGATGTGCATCTTGGCTGCTGCTTCTTGCTAGCAACCTGAAACAGCAAACAATCTGATGAAACGGGCATATTTGAGGCCAGCTGCTAGTAAATAAACATTCTTCATGAAGCCAGTGCTATTGATGATGTTATTTGCATTCTCAAGCAACAGAAGGGTGTTCTACATTAATCTGAAGGATGTTAAGTCTGGAAGTGATTTTATAAGCCAACTGTTTGAAAAGTCTGGCATCCTAGGTACAGTGGCAAGCACAAAAAGCAGCCTTGGTGAGTCACCAGATGCTGCTGAGCCTGTTGTGCAGGATGCTCAGGCAGAACCACAGGCCGAGCAGCAGCCAAAAACACTTACAGACAAGCCTGCTGAGCAAGTCGACGAATCAAAGCCGGATAAAGCCAAACAAGAAGAGCAGCAAACACCAGAAAGGGCTCCTTCTAACAAAAATGATGCATCAGCAGAACAAAGCAAACAAATCAGTGATCAAGAAGCGCAAGCCAAAGATAAGCAGAAAGCAAAAGATAAAGAAGAGGCAGAAATAAAAAAAGAAGAAAAGCAAGCTAAGGATGAACAGAAAGCTAAGGACAAGGAAGAGCAGAAAGTAAAAGACTGATCAAGAAAAACAAGTCAAAGAGGAGCAGAAGGATAAAGACAAAGAGGAGCAGAAAGTAAAAAATAAAGAAGAGTCAGACAAGAAAAAAGAAGAAAAGCAAGCCAAGGATGAACAGAAGGCTAAGGACCAGGAAGAACAGCAGAAGTCTAAGAAACAAACAAAGGAAAAAGACAAAGACAAAAGCGAAGCAGAAAAGAACAAGCAATCCGAGAAGCCTGATAATCAAACTCAAGATAAGCAGAGCGTTACACATGACAATAAAAAAGACGCAAGCAAACAGCCAAGCACTGCTACAGATTCAAGTAGCAAATCACAGGTAAATAGCAAAACTCCACAGACCAAAAGGAAAGACGAAAGCATAAAGTCCGTCTCCGAAAAATCTATTTCAGATGGCTCAACAATCATCACATCAAGCATGAATGTATCAGATAAGACCCATGCATCTGCCTCTAGCATCCGAAGCATTGGGTCTGCATCATCTGTGCTGATATCAGAAGCAATACCGTCAACAGTATCGGCTCCTTTGATGTCTTCGATGTTGCTTTCTTCAGCAGTAATACCATCCAAGACTTCAGCGCTTTCTACAGATATCAGGTCGTCAATGGCATCTGCATCGATTATGCCGCATAGTATTTCTGCAGCTCCTCAATCAACAATATCGTCTCTGATGAAAAAGATGCCCGAGATAGAGAAAGTTAAGGAGCTCAGCCCTTCAGACATTAATAAAATCCTGGAAGACTGCAATGATTGCGAAAGAGTCGACCAGGTGCTAGTATACAGAAACGGAGATTCTTTCACAGACTACTCTGGGAATATAAAGTTCCAAGAGCGAGATGGCAAGCTTGTCGATGCATCAGGATTGTTTATTGGGAAAGACTGTGGATGTCCAAAAGAAGAGATTCCTGAAATGGGTAAGCTATCTGAAACAGGGTTGTATCAGGACAAGCAGGTCAGCAGCCAGAGCTGCCAGAAACAAGCAAATGCCATCGAAAAGATATATTCCTCAGTGGATATCATTCAGAGTCAGAGCATGGCAATGTCCGTGCATTCAGAATCTACATATTCAAGCGTAATGCCAGCATCAGGCATGGCTGGAAGTGCATTATCTGCATCCGTCTCGTCTTCAGTGGATATTCCAAGCAGTGTAGCCAGCAATGCACCATCTAATGGTTCTAGTTCAAGCGGTGCATCTCCCTCAAGTATCTCACAGGCCACAAATGCTATGCAGTCTTCACAAGCTGCAAGTGTATCCTCTGTATCTAGCACAGCACAGCCATCAAGCAATATACAAGCAAGCATGAGTAATCAACAATCTGCACAGCCCACTGCAATCAATAATCCAGAAGTCTTAAATAGTTTACAGGAGCCAGCACCCAGTGTTGCAATGCTGCCTGAGGTAATTCAGCAAAGCTCAGTAATAACCAGTTTGCCACAGCCTATTAATGTAAATGCACAAGCTGGTGGGGAACAGGATATAAACAAGAGCTCGCCAGCTCAAAATGCACCATGTAGTGTTTCGCCAAGTATATCCATCAAGGCAATAAGGGTTAGGTACAATGACGATTGCAAGAATGAATCTGATGTAGATGGCTGTAAACAGATAATTGAATCGGAAAAGCCGAAGGAAGTAACAATAACAGCGCCGCCGGAGACAATAACAAAAACCGAAAAGATAGAGCTTCCACCAACAACGATTATAAAGGAGCTGACAATTATCAAACCGCCGTGTACCATCGAAAAGGAGGTAATAATCACACAGGAGGTTACACAAGAGCCCGAAGTAATTGTTCAACAGAAGACCATAGTTGAGCCAACAACAATTGTCGAATACAAGACGATTGAAGTTACAGCCACCGCAACAGAGATTATGCACGAGACAACAACCACAACAGTTACGCAAACAAAGGAAGCTAAGGTTTCCATATCGACTGTGTATGTGGAAGCACTAAAGAAGACAAAGATACCTGATGAAGGATATGTGAAAACAATTAATACCACAATAGTACTTGACGATCCTTCGGAAGTGCCGGAAGAGATAGAGTGTGAGGAGGAATGCGAGTGCCAGGGAGATAAATGTATGAATCCGTGTGGCAAGATACGGTGTGTGTCGTCTGAATAGTAGGCACTGAGCATAAGCTAATTAAATTGGTATAATATCTGAGTTGTTGAAGTATCTAATGATTACGGATAGGCTGGGTGAACGATGCCCATCTGGATAAATATGTAACAAGATGAGATATTTGATGGGCATCAGCAGTAAAACGATGTTTTGATGCAAGCAACTTGAAACAAATGAGATATAAGGAATGTTTTGATGAAACAGAAATGAAAGCAGGATTAGTGTTTGTGATGTTCAGATACTTTGTAAGAGCAGATGTGTTCAAAGAGGTCAATCTGGAGCGTCTTTTGAGCAGCGATTCGAAGGATACACGATCTGATGGGGTGAATGGCTCATCCATAAGTGAAGAATCGAAAGACTCGAAGATGTCATCGATGCTTATGGGGCAAGATAAGGGCGGAGATATGGAAAGGCCGAGCGACGTGCCGATTATTATTATATCTTCCGAAGAAAGCATGAAGGGCAAGACTGGCCAAGAGCGTGAGCAGCAGGTTATTTCAATTGTGAAGGGGGTGCTGTCTGATCAGAGCATCAAGGCAGATCTTCAATCACTATCTGGTGGAGATGCAAGTGAGAGCAATGATTCCGAAAAGTTCCGAGAGAGTACGGAGGGAGCTAGAACACCTGGAGTGGTGTACACGCCATCAGTGGCCAATATTGCAGGAGGAAGCAGCAACGAATCGTATTGGACAAGCATAATTGATGATGATGGCAAGGTCAAGAAGGTTAAGGTGAATGTAAAGGTAATGACTATTGTGCAAGATATTGGAGATCCAGCAGGGCAGAGCAAAGATGATAAGAGTGCAAATGGTGTGAATGGATCAGGAGAGAAGCAAGAAGCGACTCAAGGGAATGGAGATGTTTCTACTACAGTATCTACAATCGGAGTAAATGGTAGTAGTAAGAAGGAAAAAGAGAGGAATGATAAGGATAAGAATAAAGAGAAGGAAAAAGAGACAGAGAAAGATAAGGAGAAAGAGAAAAAAGAAAAAGAAGAGAAAGAGAAAGAGAAAGAGAAAAAAGACAAAGAAGGAAAAGAAGAGAAGAACAAAGACAAGAAAAACAAGGAAGAAAACGACAAGGATAAGAAAGAAAAGCTAAAACAGAGGGAAGACAAGAAAAAAAATGAGAAGGATAAGAAAGAAGATGATGAGTCTTCAGACATATCGTCTATAAAGAGTATTTTTGGATTTTCAGATAAAGACAAAGACACGGAATCTAAGAAGGATGGCGTAAAGGAGAAAGAAGAGAACGGCAAGGACAAGAAGGATAAGAAAGAAGGTAATGATGACAGGAAGAGCAAGAAGGATAAGGAAGAAGATAAGGATAAAGCTGGCAAGAAGGAAGATAAAAAGGAAAAAGAAGATGATAGCAAAGATAAGAATGGTGATACTAAAAAGAGCAAGCGAGATAGCAAAGAGGATAAGGATGAAAAGAGCCCTGAAATGAATGATTTGTTTTATGTTCTGAAGAACATGCCTGAGAGAGTCAATCCTAACAAGCCTGGTGGAAAGCTGTTTGTCGAAGGAAACTTTGCTGCAGTCAAGGAAGAGAAGTTGAAGGATAAGAAGTTCACCTTTTCTGGATATATCCAGGCTGCAAGCGGATAATCAAATAAATAATTAGGCAGATTGTATCACAAAATATTGCGATGATGGCTGATGAAACATTTGTTTTGAACATTGTTTTAGCAGAGTTGATTAGTGTTTGCAGATATGAGGGGATTGTGTGTGTCAAAGATGATTTACATCATGTGCATTATCGTAGCGTGTGCAAATGCAGTTCACGAATTCAATAGAGATGATGAAAGCATGGTTGAAATAGTCTTGCTGGATGAAGAATCAAAGAGTATGCCGCATATACATTTAGAGGCAGAAACGGTCCGCAATTCAAAGAAAAATACAGACAAAGCATTGAGAGATCTTCTAACAATTCTTCTTGGCCGCATTCTTGCTGAAAATGCAAATAAGACAGTAGACAAACCAATGGATGAGTCACAATCCAGCTCTATCCAAAGCAAGCATGATACACAAATGATTGCAAGCAGCAAAGATGCAGCACAAAAAAATAAAGAAACGCCGTTAAACAACACCAAGGCAAGCATTGAAATGCTTAAGAGCATAGAGCATATCCCCATGAGTTATGGTTTACTTTGTACATTTTTCCACAATATCAGTTTCATCAAAGAAAGGCTCAGAAACAAGCCTGGGATAGGAATTGTTCGTAATGTAATTGTATATGACAACGGTGGCCAAATAACTGACTACTGGGGTAGATTGGTGTTCAGAGCACAAGAAAACAGGCTTGTTGATGAGACTGGGTATTTTGAGGGAGTCAAAGTTGCCAAGTTTGAACATGTACTAAAAGATGGTAAGATGACAGAGTCCGGATTGATTCAGAAGCGTGGCATTCCTTCCACAGAGGCTGTAGATGCACTTAATACCATAAAGCTCCTACTTAATGAGGTTGCAAATGAAAAAAAGATTCCGCTTCACAACCTGATCAATAAAAACTGTATATCATCAACAGTGGAGGAAGTAGCATTCCATGCAATGCATCCTTCAATAAAAACAGAAGAGATAGCGTATGTATGTGTATGCTCAGACTCGTTCTGCAAAGAACCATGTAAAGAAGTCATTCAAATGAAGAAAAAGGACATAATAAATAGAAATAGCTAGCTATTCTGAATTTGTTTTTTAATTGCTTATCGTGGCCTTCTCAATGTCCAAGATGTCATCAAACTCAAGTTTCTCATCAGCCATCTGATCCAGAATGCCTTTAAATGCACCGATGCTGATGTTCTTGTTTTCTTTTCCAAGCCTGACATTTATCTCTCGATTTTCTGCTTCTTTCTTCCCAATAACACACACGAATGCATATCCCTGTGTTTCGGCTGTCCTTATCCTCTTGTTCAACGTGTTATTATCATCAATCACATCAACCCTAAACCTAGAGAGTAAAGCCTTCACCTCACTAACATACTCGGTATTTCCCATGCTAACAATAGCCACTTGTCTTGGTGACAACCAGAACGGCAGCCTCTTTCTAAAATTCTCAAGGATAATTGCAATCATCCTTTCTATGCTTCCAAGAATCGCCCTGTGTATTATAACAGGTGTTTTCTGCTGTCCATCACTGTCACGATATCTCAGCTCAAACCTCTGTGGAAGCTGAAAGTCAAGCTGGATAGTTGCACACTGTATCGCCCTTCCCAATGCATCATGGAGTATGATATCAATCTTGGGTCCATAGAATGCTCCATCGCCTTCATTGATTTTGAATGGAATTCCACATTCGTCCATGGCATCAGAAAGCGCCTTTTCTGCATCATCCCACTCATCAATCGATCCAAGATACTGCTTAGGCCTTGTGCTCAATCCCAATTCAAATCTAAACTTAAATATTCCATACACAAACCTTAGAAAATCAATGCATCCCTTGATCTCATCCTTTACCTGCTCCTTAGTGCAGAATATATGTGCATCATCCTGTTGAAACCTTCTTACCCTGGTTAATCCAGTAAGCGCACCAGTCAGCTCGTTTCGGTGCAGCACCCCAAAGTCTGCATACCTCAGCGGAAGCTCTCTGAAGCTGTGGTCTTGGTGCTTGAACATAACACAATGCCCAGGACAGTTCATAGGCTTCAATGCAAACTCGTTCCCTTCGATGATAAACATATTATCCTTGTAGTTTGCCAAGTGCCCACTTTCTTCCCAGAGCTGTGTGCAGAAAATATTCGGCGTTATAACCTCTTTAAATCCTCTTTTCATATACTCTCCTCTCAAAAATTCAATCAGCGTGTTGTAAACAATCGCTCCGTTCGGAAGAAAAAAGCATGATCCTGGTGAGTACTTCGAGAAAAAAAACAGCTCAAGCTCGCCACCTATTTTCCTATGATCCCTTTCCTTTGCTTCCTCCTTCATTCTCAAGTATTCTTGCAGTAGCTCTTTCGATGGAAATGCAACTCCATACACCCTCTGCAACGACTCCCGATTCGGATCATTCAAAAAATATGCACTGCCGTTCTTCAACACCTTAACTGCTTTTATCATCCCAGTCGATCTTACATGAGGCCCAAGACACATATCCACAAACTCCCCTGACTTATAAACAGTGCTTCCTCCCTCAATCTTATTCAGGAAGTGTGTCTTAAACGGATTACCCCTATACATCTCCAGCAGCTCATCTCTACTCTTTGCAATTTTTTCAAACCTTGAATTCTTCTTTATGATCCTATACATCTCATCCTCAATCTTCTTGTAATCATCCGACGAAATCGCTTGCAAAACATGTACATCGTAGAAAAACCCTTCTTCGGTCGCTGGCCCATGCGACAGCTTTGCTCCAGGATACAGGTTCAACAGTGCATTCCCCAGAACATGTGCTGATGAATGCCAGAATACTTCCCGTCCTTCCTCATCGTCAAACTTCACAAACTCTAGCACACAGTCTTTCTCTATCTTCGTGCACATGTCGCTCAAAACACCATTGATCTTGCACACCACAATATCATTCTCGCCTTTGCTGGTTTCATTAAAAACATCATATGCACTCTTTCCCTTTACAACCTTGATCTCCTCTTCTCCAAGCCTTACTTTCAAATACTCTTCATCCATTTGAGGGCATTGCATCTCAAATAATCTTTATTTAACTTCATGCTCAAACACTACATTCATTTTACACATCAAATCGGGCTTAATCACATCCCTGCATTAAAGCTGTAGTTTCAGGCAACTTTCCTGTTCGTCTCATTCCTTGGAAGACCAAATCCCACATCACATTTGCAAGCACCTTAGGAACATTTTCATTCCTGTTCAGCATAAACCTAATGCTTTCATGCAGATACTTAGCATGCTCACGCTCTCCTACCTCCACAATACTTTTGAAAACAAACGTCAGCAACAGCTTATGTCTTAAGCACATCTTCCCTGAAAACAAATTATCCAGTCCATCCTGCACCAAATGATCAAATGCTCTTTCAAATAACGATGAAATCGCATCAATCTTGTACTCTTCGCATCCATCATAGCAGATAAGAACATCAAGTGCTTCTTTACATCTGCTCTGTATTACTCTTTCAGTTGCACTTTCCACAAGATCACGAAAACATCGAAAGCTTGCATCTATCTTGTCTATGTCCTTTTCTTCAGAAATGATCCTAATTGCATCCTGGAGATATCTTGGCTTCCACAGCAGTCTAAGACCATTGACATCGTTCTCAACTCTTGCATAGTTACAAAAAACATCATTTGGATTCATAAAACCACATTTGTTTTTGCCTAGAATATGCCCTGGAATATCACCAAGCATGCTCTGTGCCTCCTCCATCGCTGCTATCCCAAAATCCGCGCTGTTCATTAAAACACTTGCAACAATCGCACCATGCTCATAATACTTCCTACGCCCATCGACAAAATGCTTGTTAACTCCTTCTATCAAAAGTCTCATTTCATCAGCTTCAATCGCATGGCTTCTTAGCGCTATAACCACACATCTTGTAAAAAACAAATCTTCATCAGGCAATCTATTGATGCCCTCTAGGAAGCAGCTCCCAACCATCTTAAACATCATCCGAGGACTTCTCGAACATCTTATAACATCAAAGCAAACATCAGATCGCCTCTCCACACAATATATTTGCATGCATTTCTTCTCAAAATCCTCACTCTCCACAAAAACCTTACACTTTTCATAAAGTATTGCTTGAGAATCAACAGACAATTTGCTGTAGTACTTCAGAAAACATTCTTGAGCACATCCAGGATTCCTTTTAAGATACAAATCAATAAATCCAACCGCGTCAGAACAACTATCTAGGACCTCATTCACCACCCATGGCTGGCATTCCACCTTCCACACCTCATCTCTCAACATTATATAAGGGATATGCCATATCTCAAACTCATTTATTATATTATTTACTCGTCACTCTATCTAATAAACATGCCATTAGCCAGCAGATATCGATGATACAACACTTTCACTCTCATTTTGTGTTTGATCTACACTGATAGAGGGCATTTGCATTTCGCTTACAAATGGTGTTAGCTTTTCCACTATCTCATCTATGACAACCTCATCAGAAATCAACAAACTGTTATTTGGAATCTTCTTTTCCTTTATATCTAACACAACATCATCCATGCTTTTTCCATCCATGCTTTCCAAGCACATCGATTCCGGCTGTCTTACATACGACTCTATTCTTGTGTATGCAAGCTTTGGAGTCTCCTCATGCACCGTAATGATGCTTACATCCTTATTGGTACTCTCATTAGATTCAATCACCGTAATCATTCTGGTCTTCATTTCTTTCAATTCGTTTTCTGCTTCATTTGTATCTGTACCGCTCTTCCCTATTACAGATCTGGATACAACAGGTAATATTACAGAGACAGTCTTATCCTTGTACTTATGATCAGCATTGCGATGCAGAATTTTGAACTCCTGTAGCTTCTTCCCAACCACCGCTTCAACCTTCTCCTCAAGCCCATCTAATTCCCTTTCAAGCCTTCTTACCTGATCTTCAACAACAGAGCTCACTACACTAAGATGCATATTGCTATCCAGCCCTTTTGCAATCGTACTGATAATTGTCTTTGTTACCACCTCATGCTCTGTGAGCGTCTCCTTCAATTCCCTTAGCACATCAGCCACACTTTCTAGCATAGCTCTATCCTTATCAGATTCGGCAATATCTCGAACGGCCTTATTCTTGTTCTTCTTGTATCGTAGCATTTCAGGTACATCAACACTAGCTGACTTTACATCATGTCTATTCTTTATGGCGGATCCATGATGCACACTCCCTTTCGTCCGATTCAGCTTTTCGGCATCAAATTCATGTGCAGGCAACTTCTCAACCGATAGCACACTCATGATTGATTCTATAGATCGATTCTCGGCGTCTTTATATTCATTATCATTATCATTATCATTATCATTATCCACATCCTTGCTGCCAGATATTTCATCATGCATACTTGCATCATCTGCTTTGCTATCGTACAAATCAGATACTCTTGCTCCATGCTTCTTGGTATCGTTTAGGCTATTTATATGCTTTGGAAAGCGTGGCAAATAACCATCTGGTACTTCATGCTCGTCATGCATGATCTCTCTGCCATGCATTTCACGCATCATCTTAAATGCATCCTCTTCATTTCCTGCATCTTTGCTCTTTTCCATTGCTATTATCATATCAATCAGCTTACTTTCTCTCTCTTCATTCACTGCAATTCTCTTCATAAGCTCATCGACTTTCTGATCATACTTGCTCATTATCATAGAATGCTCTTTATCTTCCCTAATTTGTGAAGCATATGGTATGCTTACGACAGTCGCTAAAGAAGGTAGTGCCATCGATTGGCTCTTTGATAAGACTGTAGCCAACACATCCTTTGTTTTTGTAACAGTCTCCACAACCGTGGTCGTCAGACTCTTCGTAGTTACACTCTTTGCATCCAATACATTCTCTTTTGTAGATGGCAATGCCTTGTTGGCCTTCATAAACTCAGAAATACCCTTTAGCAACTCTTTGAATGCATCTTCATACACCATCGGCATAAGATCCCTAGACACAGGTTCTAGATATCCCCTGGTAGAAGGCTCAGATATCCTTTTGTAAACCGTGGTTGTGTGCTCTTTGCTAATTGTAAGCGTGGTTGTATGAGGTGCTGTGTATGATGTGGCTTCTTGTGATTGATTCAGTAGATCCTCGGTTATTAGTGGCCTAACAGACACAGTGGTTGTAGCAATGCTTTTCTTGGCATTAGATGCTTCCACAGAGTCAAGCAGACTCTTGATTCTTTGCATCAAATCAAGTTCCATCAGCCTTTGCGCACCTGGCTTGTCTTTTTTGCTTCTAAAGCTATTCGTTCCTTTCTTTTCAGGAGCATTGGCTGCAAAGGCATTCGATTCAGACTCTGCGCCATCCTCTGTTTCCATCTTGCTATCCATACCATCTCTGTCAACATACATTGTCTTGAGGATTGTTGTAGTGAGGTCACCAGTATCTGGGGACACTCTTGGCTGTCTTGTAATTGTTCTAGTTGTTATTATTGTTTGCGTCGCCATCCTCCTTGATAATGTGCTTTCTGCCTGCTCAATCAACTGTGCCTTGGTTGTTGTTGTTGTGGTTGTTGTCCTCAATGTGATTGTTGACACAGATACTCCAGTGTCTTGGTTAAGAAGCATCCTTGCATCATCCTTCTCTGCATATCTCTCAGGATATATGTTATGGAATACATCCGAGTCCCTGATAAACACAGGAATCACATTGTTTCTTTCTATTATAACTGGCTCACCACGATTTGTGAGAGAATGTGAAGGCTGCTCTTCTGTGGAAGTGTCAGGCCCAGAGTATTTGCTGTCGATGCTCTGGAAGATCATAGGAAGATCAATCAGAGCAGATTTCTTCGCACACATTCCTTCTATATTTGAATTTTCATTGATGCTATTGTAGAGAGCCTTCAATTCGTCACTCATGGACATGTATTGCTGATTTGCACGGATTTTCGTTGCCCAGTCGTACAAATCACAAACTCTGTAAGACGTGCCATTGTACAAAGCAATGTCTCCTTTGTAAGCAAGACTTCCGGGAGTTTTTCTGACCAAAGCATCTGTTTGGAAATCAGCTATCACTTGAGCAGAGCCGTTTCCATTGCTTATATTTGGAGTGTATCCGCTGCCATATATGCTTTTGCTGATTTTTTTCTCGACAAACTTGACAAACGGCTTTTCGTCAGCATGAGCAGTCTTTGTAATAGCTATGCCTGATGGCTTTTGAATTTGCACAATCCTAAGAGGATTATCCGAAGCAGCGACGTTTAGCTTTGAGCATGCATCCTTACATTTCAGATCGTCTTCAACACACCTGCAGGACAAAGCTCTGTTGAATGGCAGAGCACCAGGCACAATGACGCCTTGGGCAGCAACACAATAAACAGCCACAAGCAATTCAATAATGAAAACGACATTCATCAAGCTTTATTTGTTTATGTGCATACATTGAATTAAACCTTCAAGCCGATTGTGATCGTATTGAAAAGTTTGTAGACAGTAAATAAAAGCAAAACACTGTTTCACAGGTAGCATAAAAGGAATTACTTCATAAACAGCCATGGCAAGCTACTGTTTGGCTGTTTTGGCTCTTGGATATGCATTCTCAAGTATTATAGCAGAGCCTGAACACAACAAGGGTGTAGTTGAAAAGCCGTATGCCCAGATAGCATATCATCCGAACGGATTTAATGAAAAGGTCGGGGTGAAGGGAACGCATGTGGAGGCAGATGGCCTGTCTCTTAGAAGGCACACCGATGAGGGCGGGCTTGTGGCGTTCCTTGAGCCAAACCCACACGAAGAATGGAGCTTTTCATATACATTTACAAATGCAGCGCTGAGGTTTCCACATATTGGAGGAGTATATCTGTGGTATACATCTGAAATTCCAGACCAGGGCGAGTACAGGGGCGGAAACGACAAGTTTGATGGAATAATGGCAGGGCTTGAGTTCCGAGGCGCACAGCCAGAGATAGTGATGGCATTCAACAATGGCGAAGAAAGCCTGAAAGGGTCTGAGGACATGAATCTACACAGAGATGTAATAAATCCATCAAGGCTCAAGGGTGTAAGCGACATAACAGTGAAGGTGATATCCACAAAGAAGAACTTCAAAGTGGAGCTGTATGACGGAGATAAACTGCTTTACGACAGCTTCAGATACCATGGAAAGGGCAACTCAACAAAGATAGGCTCTGGAAAATACTTCAACATCACATCATTTTATGACAAGGCGCCTTCAAATAGTGTATACAAGCTACGAAATGCAGAGCTTTTTGAAAGGATAGAAACCGATGAGTATAAGGTTCATGCGATTCATGCTCCACATGTTGAAGAAGCACCAAGATCGCCAGACAGCATTATGCATGAAGAAGAGGAGATAAGGCATCTTGTTTCGAAGACAGAATACCTGCACAACTATCTTCAACTGATTATCGGGGACATAAATGATTCATCGTTTGACAAGATATTGCATGTGCTGTATGAGCAGCAAAAGCAGGTTATGAAGAAGATGGATGAAATCACGGCATCGTCAAGCAGAGCAAACACAATGGACACGAAGCTGATATCGCTATCTGAGAACATTAACAGCATCGACATCCGAATACAGAAGATTCAGAAGGCATTTGCAGATCTTGATCACATTGTAAACAAGCTAAGCGATAGCCATAGCAAGAGTTCAAACTTCTTGGCCTATGCGATTCTTGGAATAGCAATGGCAGGATTTGGATTTGCAGCAATCAAGGAGTACAATGCCTTGAGAATCAGGCAGAAGGCCATTTGAGAATAATAAAGGTAGTATCTGAACTTTAAGCAAAGTTTCTATGGGTTTATGGTTGCTTGTGCTGCCATGGATGCACGAACTTGTGAAATGGCTATGCTTATGATTAGAATGCAAACAGAATCCCCCTATGCAGCCATTCTGGGAAAAGCTAAGCAAACCGTACTTTGCAGTTGCACCGATGGTTGGAAATTCGGAGGAGGCATGGCGTATGCTTTCCCGGAGATACGGCGCAAACATACTGTACACAGAAATGGTTCACTGCGAATCCTTTTTGAGGGGAGCCTGCGATCCTTGTAGCAATCAATGGTACACGACCTCCGAAAGAGATCGGCCGTTGATTGTCCAAATTTCCGGAAACTCTCCACAGAAGATGCTGGAGGCAGCATTGATTATCCAAAGCCAGTGCGATGCAATTGATGTGAATTTTGGATGCCCACAGAAGGTTGCAAAGAAAGGAAGATATGGCGTGTATCTTCAGGAAGACTGGGAGCTGACTGCAGAGATCATAAGGGTTCTGTCGACTAGCTTGAGAGTTCCTGTCACATGCAAGATCCGGGTATTTGAGTGTATTTCCAAGACTGCTGAATATGCGAAAATGATCGAGAGTGCAGGATGCTCGATGCTGGCGGTTCATGGAAGAACAAGGGATCAGAAAGGCGCCATGATGGGGCTTGCAAGCTGGGAGCATATTAAGGCAGTGAAGCAGTGCTTAAAGATTCCTGTGCTTTCGAATGGCAACATAATGAGCCATGATGATATTTTGAGATGTCTTGAGTACACCGGATGTGATGGGGTGATGGTTGGAGAGGCACATTTGCACAATCCGCTTGTTTTCTGCAGATTAAGGAGCTCGTGCCTGGACATGATCAGGGAGTATATAGAAATATGTAAGGAGTATCCAAGCAGTGCGGGTATCAGGCACATCAAGTCTCATTTATTCAAGCTTTTGTCTGTGTACTTCACAGAAAGGCCCGAGATGAGGCCTGTTCTTGATGCATGTGATAGTCTTGAGAAGGCAAGCGCATTCTACCTAGGGCTTGTAAACGAAGCAGTTCTATTGGGGAACGGAAGCGATGGATATGGCATATATGAGATGAAGCCAGAGCCTGTGGATTCGACATGTAGCATTATGCATGCAAACTGGAGCTATAGTTTATAACAAAAACACATGGCGATGCAAGCCCTGTTTTAATATGGTAGAGCATGACATATCGAAGCTGATTGAAGAGGCGAATGCAATTGAGAGCGACTTGAAGGATTGCGAAAGCACTTTTGAGAACATAGGTGGACTTGCAATACGTGTACAGTCGTTTTCCAGGGCGGTCCATGGTTTGGAGCATGAGACGTCGCAGACTCGGTATCTTCGCAAACAGGCCGATATGTTTAATAAAAGACTGGTTAAACTAGGAAGTTTGCGCACAAAGCAAAAGGATGAAATGAATGAAGAACTGATGCATGCAAAGATCAAGCCGGAAAAAGAGTATATGGAAAGCACCGAAGGACTTCCGCAAGAAATGGCCACTGACAGCGACTTTTTTTCGTCGAGCACAAAGAGGATAAATGATGTGCTGATGAATGCAATGGATGCGTTTGAGACAGTCAAGAGGCAGAATGTATACATAAGCAGAACAAATGACAGGATCAAAATCGGATTGAGCCGTTTGGGCCTCAGCAAGCAAATAATTGATGAGATCGACAAGAGATATCTGTCTGACAAATTCCTATTCATGGGAGGCATTGTGCTTTGTGTGATACTTTTCTTTTTGTTGAGAATGTTTTTGTGATAGAGGTTTGGCATTTATGGCTTATGAAATAAATCGATTAGCGCTTATGAATCTGAGTCTGATGCTTAGCTTGTTTTATTGATGGTGTGCAACTGATGCATTGTGGCAGTGAATTCCTTGCATATTTACTTTTGGTTGCAGGAATCCATTTTTTTATCTATGCTTTGCATTATTTTCTTTACATTGAGTCTGAACCTGAACTTCTTCAGTGTAAATATCAAGTTTTTTGCCTTTTTGAATGCAGTGCTAATGATTGAGTATCTCTTCTTGTATTCTCCATGCAGAAGTGTTTTGATTGGCATCCACTTTATCTCCTCGATTTCTTTTTTTGTCTGTGCTTGGAATGGATAGCTTGTTTTTACATTGAACACAAAGTAGAAAGTAATCTTTTCGAAGATGAAGATTGGCAGATTACATATTTTCTTGCTTGCATCGTATCCTATTTCCTCATAAACCTCTCTGGTGGCACAGTGAATGCCGTCTTCGTTCATGCATTTCTTGCCTTTTGGAAACGAGTAATTTTTCATTTTTTTCTTTTCCTTGACCACAAGGACATGCGTCATGTGAGGATCGAGTATTATTGCTCCAAACACCTTCACCGATTGCCTGTATTTTATGAACGCTTTTAGAGACTCATCGACATTTGTCTCAATTCCGATATGCCCAAGAAGCTGTTTGCTGAACTCTGCAAACGACACATTTGTGATGTTGTATATGTCCATTGTAAACCAGTGTGCTTCTTCGAGAATGAAGAAGAGGCGCTCGACGGAGTTTATTTCGTCACTTTGCAAGCACATTAGGAATCTCGAAGCCACACTATCCAAGATGCCATGCTTGATCATTAATAAACAGCAAGGGCACGCGTGCCAATTTTGTGTTGTTTGATGCATGAATAGATGATTAGATGGAAAATGCCTGATGGCATGGAGATTATGACTGATTTATCACAACAAAAACAAGCCCTCAATGAGCGAGGAAGGCCAAGGGCAGAATAACGATGATTCGGCCACTATAAACCTGAAGAGGCGTAGAAGGGTGAAGGAGAGCAAGGCAGCATCGAAGCCACCGCAAGTATATCCATTGACAAAGTGCAAGCTGAGATACATGAAGCTGAGCAAGATGGCGCATTTGTTGTCGCTTGAAGACAACATATTGAGTTTATGTGAGATGGACAAGTCTTCTGAGGGGGTAAGCGGGCAGAAGCAAATGGTTGAGCAGTTGCGAGGAAGCCCATTGTCTGTTGGGACACTGGAGGAGTTTGTTGATGATCACCATGCGATTATCACCACGGGTGTTGGGCTAGAGTATTATGTTAATATAATGTCTTTTGTGGACAAGGATCTTCTTGAGCCAGGATGCACGGTATTGCTGAACCACAAGGACAACAGTGTTGTGGGTGTACTTGAGAGAGAGATGGATCCGATGGTGAATGTTATGAAGTTGGAGAAGGCGCCATCAGAAACATATGCAGATATCGGAGGGCTTGAGGAGCAGATACAGGAGATAAAAGAAAGTGTGGAGCTTCCGTTGACGAATCCTGAGCTTTACCAGGAAATGGGGATACGACCGCCGAAGGGGGTGATATTATATGGGCTTCCTGGCACTGGAAAGACACTTTTGGCAAAAGCTGTTGCGAACCAGACGTCAGCGACATTTCTTAGGGTTGTGGGGACAGAATTGATACAGGAGTATCTGGGAGAAGGGCCGAAACTTGTGAGGGAGTTATTCCGGGTTGCAGATATGCATGCGCCGTCGATTATTTTTATTGATGAAATAGATGCGATTGGAGGGCGACGGTACAACACATCTTCTGGAGGTAGACGAGAGGTGCAAAGGACAATGCTGGAGTTGCTGAACCAATTGGACGGGTTTGACACGAGGAACGACATTAAGGTGATTATGGCCACAAACAAGATAGATGCGCTTGACCCAGCCCTGATCAGGCCAGGGAGAATTGATAGAAAGATTGAATTTGGAATGCCCGATGTAGCAACTAAGAAGAAGATATTTGGCATTCACACCTCCAGGATGACGCTAGATGAGAATGTGAGTATTGAGTCTTTGATAACTAGTAAGGAGGACTTGAGCGGGGCAGATATAAAGGCGATTTGTACAGAAGCAGGAATGATCGCATTAAGGGAGAGACGAAAGATGGTGACAATGAAAGATTTTATTACAGCAAGAGAGAAGGTGTTTTCATCCAAGCAAAAGGCAACGCCTGCTGGACTCTACTCTTAAATAAAACGCATTTTCGTTTTGTGATTGGATTTTCAAGGAATCAATAAGGTTGTTGAGTACTGATTAGGCAAGATAGGAGTTTGAATTAGTGTAGGATGGCTCAATTAGATATTTTATAATATTTTATGACTATTTCTTTGTAAATCTATTTGGTTTCATGCCTGATCCAACAAAGATGTAGTATATTCCATCATGCTCGACTGAGAAACTATTTGTTCGTTTTATGAATGTTTTTATCAAGTCGTTTTCGAAGACAATCACAAGCGAATTTGCTCGCTCCTCAACAACTATTCCACTTCTCCCGTCGGAGATTTTGACTTTTGCACCGGTTAGCTCTGCTGTATATATCTTGTTAGCAAACATAGCCGAATTTATTGTGCCCTTGAGCCTTGTAAGGTATTCTGTGAACATTTTGTTCATTTTTAAGAAGTCTGTGTACTTGATTTTTGACCTTTCGGTGCTTTTTATTGCAGGAAACGACGGTTTCTGCTCTTTAGAGAATTCTCTATTTGCCAAGATAAAAGGAAACGATTCGGAGCGAATGGTCTCTTTTTTCAAGTGTGCACCGTAATGATTCTCTATGTTGAACATTTATGCCCTACTTTGAATTCTTGATATTAATGCAATGCAATTATGGAAAAGAAGAACAGGGATCTTGCGAAAAAAAACACGGAGCTCAAAGAGAAGATATCCAAGATGACAACAATGTATTCTGAATTACTCAAGACGAATATCAAACGGGAATATGCAGAGTTCAGGATCAGCAGAAAGGCTGTTGGGCTGCTAGAAGCCAGCATCGGTGTGGTGAATGAGGTTGCAGACAGCCTGAGAGGGATAAAGGAAATGATTTTGAGAAAAGATGCTGTAGAGGTGCTTGAGGACAAGTCGAATGTGCAGGATGGAGTGAAATTGAAGAAGCTTTGAGTGTGATGCAAGGCATATTTTCGTGATGTTTTTGAGCCCTATGATTGAAAAGGTAGTGGAGGCTGTGATCGAGAGGCTGAGAGCTGATGATGAGGTAAAGTCATCTGACATTGATGCATCGTATGCCAGCATACATGGTGCGTTTATTAGTCTTGAGAGTAAGGGTGTGTGCAATGTTAAGACGAATGAGAGTTTTGAGGAAGTGCTAACTAAGGAGGGTGAGGAAGTGGAGAAGAATGGAAGTGAAGAGTATTTGCTGTTAAAGTCAATAGGGCAAGATGGAATGAGTCTTGAGGATCTCGAAAGGTACAAGTTGGGGAAGATGAATGCATTTAAAAATAAGTGGATTAGGAAGGAAGGAAGTAGAGTGTTCAGAGTTGTTGGGGATATTGAGGATGGAATAAGAAAGATGGCTGCTAATCTGAAATGTGGAAATGCATCTGAAGATGAGCTGGAGACGTTGAGGAGAAGAAAGCTTGTTTATAAGAAGAAGAATGTTGTGTTAATAGCAACCAAAGGGCCGATGTTTTTTGAAGCAAGCAGTTATGTGACGGAGTTGACTGCAGGGATGGTGCAGAGTGGCTCCTACAAAAATGCTGTCTTCAAGAATTACAACTTTGACACTCGAGGAAGTGCTCCGCAGTCTGGATCTCTACATCCTTTGATGAAGATGAGAGACGATTTCAAGAGGATATTTGTTGGGATGGGGTTTAGCGAGATGTCTACTGGCCAATATGTTGAATTATCGTTCTGGAATTTTGATGCGTTATTCCAGCCTCAGGATCATCCATCGAGAGATGCACACGACACGTTTTTTATTAAGGATCCCGAGATAAGCACAAGGCTCCCTGCTGAGTATCTGAAGGATGTATCCGAAACGCACTGTGGAGGAAGATATGACTCGCTGGGCCATAGAAATGCATGGAGCATATCAGAAGCGCAGAAAAACATTCTAAGGACACATACAACGTCGGTAAGTGCCAGAAGGCTGTACGAGCTAGGAAAAAGAGGGTTTGTGCCTACAAAGCTGTTTTCCATTGACAAAGTGTTTCGAAACGAAAGTGTAGATGCAACACACCTTGCGGAGTTCCATCAGGTGGAAGGATTGATTGTTGACAAAGGGTTGACCATAGGACACCTCATGGGTGTTTTACAGGAATTTTTTGGCAGGCTTGGCATGGACAACATCAAGTTCAAGCCTGCATTTAATCCATACACTGAGCCATCTATGGAAGTGTTTGGGTATCATAAGGAGCTCGGCAAGTGGATAGAGATAGGAAATTCTGGGATTTTCAGGCCCGAGATGCTACGCCCAATGGGATTTGATGCGGATGTGAGCGTGATTGCATGGGGGCTGTCTCTTGAAAGGCCGGCAATGATCAAGTATGGATTGAAGAATATCCGCGATCTTGTTGGGCACAAGGTTGACATTGAGTTTTCTAGAAGAAGCGAAATATGTTTTTTTGATTAAAAGATGTTTTGAATGCTATGCATCCCTAATGTTTTATATCAGCAAGACGGTAGTGCCTGGAGATTTTTGTATGAAGATTGTGTGCAATCGGTCTGGAGTTTACTTGGCGCAAGCATCATCTGTTGTTAAGTATATTATTAGAGACGGAAGAGCAGTGTATGCCAAGCGGATTGATTTTTTTGATGTTGTTAAATCTGTTGTAGCTGCTGAGAGTAGCATTATGGTTGTTTTCAATGGATGTATACGGCAGCTGGATGAGAATCTTGATGAGAAGAATATGCATGTGTTTGGAAGAAGTAATATTGATTATAAGAATCCAGGCTCATATGTGGCATATACAAAACGAGGTATTTGCATTGTGTCGTTTTTTGGACAGATGGTGCTGTATAGGACTGGAGAAGGGCTGCTTTCTGAGCCTATGGAGTATAGTATGGGACGATGTGCAACTGTTGTTCTGGACTTCAAAGCGATTGATGGTAGGGATAGATATGCTTCTCTTGAAAAAAACTGCAATGGAACCGCAGTTAGAGTGTACGAATATGATTGTGTTTCAAGAGCAATTAAGATGGTGGCTGAACAGATGGTGGATGATAGTGGGTACATGATTGTTCCGTTGAACAGCATGATGTTTGTGGTGTTTTCGAGTGTGAGTGTTTTTGCTTTTAGGAGTACTTTCAAGGTGGAAAAGTATGATATTCTGGAATTGCTTAGATCATCTGGAGTATCAGGTGCAGGAGCAGATATACCAATGGATGGTGTTTTTACATGCAGTGCAGTTAGTCCAGAGGGAATGAACGAATTGGCTGTTGTTGTGAATGCAGATGGTCTTGTTTTTGAGATCAAAGCTACGGATTGTATAGAATTGCATTATGCAGCAAAAGTATGTGTGCCCAAAGATGTAGTAATTGATTATTACGGGCATTTTATTTGTTTAGCACATGACTCTATCAGTCAAGTATATTTTGTTAAGAGGGATGAAGGAAGTATTAGCATTGTGTATGCGGATGATATTAGCAGCAGCATGATCTGCAGGAGTGCATACGTTGTGCATGATGAATTACACCATGTTTATGTGTGCAACGGAAGAAATGTAGGCGAGGTTGTTGAAGCATTGCCGATCAATTTTGTATGCAAGGCTAAAATCACAGAAGACTCTAACCATGAGGAGAATGTAGGAGAGGGCAGTGATGATGGTGCGATTAAAGATGTTTTTGCATCTGGAGATATGATTTGTGTATGCTATGGCAACAGGATTTGTAACATCAAGATGAACAAAACACAGTTTGAGAAGCAATATGAGCTTGAATGTGCCAGTGAAGTACTTGGGTATTTCAGAATTCAGAGCCATGATGTGTATGTAATGAGAGAATCGATCATGGTATGTGATTTGATCATGGATAATCAAAATACAAGAGGGCCTGAGGCTTATGTGAAGGAAGTGATCCATGAATATTTCTGTGGTTCATCAAGATATGTTATTTTTGCAAATCATAGCAGGATATTGTTGTTTGAAGGATCTGTTATGGAGTGCATTGAGACTGGAGTCGTTGTTAGGGGATTGGAAGTGCATGATAAGTATTTGTTTGTTGTAACAGGACGACGCGTAATACGTGTGTATAGTATTTCAGAGAGGAGATTTGTGTTTATTCAATTGCTTTTGGAAGATTTTGAGTTTGTGATGGCTTTTGAAGGATACTTATATGTAGTTGGGTGTGCAATGCACAGGTTCAAGATTAATATGGATGGATCGCTTGGATTGCCTAGCTGGATGAATTTTAATGGAAAAGGCATTGGAAGAAAGGGTAGGATTATGATACTTGAGAATGATTCTATGGATGTTAGGTGCCAAAGAATGATTGGGGTTGATGGAATAAGGAGTGTGTTTGTGGATGGAAGAGTGGTGGTAGGAGAGGGAATGTGGCTGAGTATTTATGATTATGATGAGAGTAGAAGGATTATGATTGATGGCTTAGTCCATGCAGATGGAGCATGCAAGATACTGATGAATGGAATGGGGTATGTAGAGAATGTAAACAGCAGGTTCAGTGTTAAGAAGTTTGATGGAAGCATAGCATTTGAAGGAGTTGGAGCAGCTATTGAGGCAGCATCATACGGAGAGTATTGTGTTGTTGCCGTAAATGATTGCGAAAATAGTATGAATATATCTGATACCAGATGTTTTTTGAATATATACAAGCAGGATATCTTAATGTATGCATTTGGAATTGATTATGGACCAAGTGTTTTGAGGATGGAGAAAAGTAGAATATATTGTGCATCACTTAATGCGATGTATTGCTATGAGATTGGGCTTAAGACGCTTCTGAAAAAGTTCCGGATTGAGTTTCCATCGAAGATTAACTGTGTATGCACGGATGATGCCAGGGTGTTTGTTGGAACAGAGAAGGATTCGGTGTTTGTTTTGAAGGAAGGGAATGTGGAGCATAAAGATGATGTTTCTCGATGCATCGTATCGCTGGAGAAGTTTGATAAAGACAGACTAATTGTCGGAGAAATGACTGGTGAGGTGATGATTATGAATCTATTTGAAAATTGCGTAGCAGTGACTGCTTCAATATTTGTGAACGACATGCCGATTATGCTTATACCTGGAGATAGGGTATTTGCTGTATGCCTGAGCGGAAAGGTGGTTGAAATACAGGAAATAGACAAGGAGCTGTTTGGTTTTTTGCAGAAGCTGGAAGATCAAATTATAGCATTTTCTGGAAAGCCTTTTTTTGAGGCGTTCAATAAAACAAGGTTTGTTGATGCAGGCTATCTGAAGCAGGTCTACGATATGAGTGATGAAGGAATGCGTGATATTTACAAGAGCAGAGAATTTGATATAAAACGAATTTTTGATGTAATTGGTAGGCTCTGATGTGAAAAGTGGAGGCTGGTATTAAGCCCCGTAAATGTATAAGATAGAGCCGTTGCTTCCAAGCGATGCGTTTTCGTTAGATACAATAAATCTAGACTATAGTACAGAAAGCTATGCATTGAGCTACTACCTATACTACATGATAAATCATACGGAAGACTGCATGGCGGTTGTTTCATCTAAAGAAAGAAAGCATTCATTTTATTGCCTAAGGGAGGTCTATGGAATTTTGATGGGAAGACTAGAAGAAAAAGAAGGAGGAGTAGTATGTGCACACATTTCTGTACTGAGTGTGCAGTTTGGAAAACGAAGGAATCGGTTTGCAAGGCTCTGTATGGATATATTAGAGAACAATGCAAACATATACAAAGCATACTTTATGGACTTGTATGTTAGGTGTACCAATACATATGCAATCGATTTTTACAAGAGATTAGGTTACACTGTTTACAGGCGAATTTTTGATTATTACTATGATAAAAACGGTTATGAGGATGCATTAGACATGAGGAAGTCCCTAAAACTTGATCCTGAAAAGAAATTTATGCAAGAAGGTACAGACTTACATGCTTCAAAATTAAATTAACTGTGGCAAAACCATATGTGATGTGTTTGTAAATTGATTTGCTTTGCACTATGTGTTGATTTATGCTTCTTAATGAAGGTTTATTATTTGTACGTGTTCATCTGAGCCTTTACAAGCTAATAAATAGACTCAAAGCATATGTTTAATACCAAATGTTATATGCCATGAATGCTTATAGTATAAACCTTGTTCAAGCAATTGCATTGATGATTTGATTAGATGGATTTTCTATATCTCATAAACTCATCCAATGTAGCAAAGTTTCTTCCTTCGTACACTAGGTATTCACTTACTGTTATATATTCCTTGAAACAGTGTCCATTGCTATACATCATGCAAACCTTTCCAGGATATTTTCTACTGAAGTAAAATCCATATTTTATGTAACTTCCGCTCTGGCCTAGATACTCTAGTAATCTGTCCTCGTTTTCAAAGTAGTATTTGTGACCTTTTATATTTTTGACGTTCATGAGTATCTTCTTTGCAATCTTTGATATGAATTCATCCAAACTATCGTATGAGCATTCTTTGTAGCAATATTTTTCATCTTCCGCCACCTTCATATGCACATATACATCATCCAGAATCTTCAAAACTACTATTGGAGATCCATCACTTTTACTTGCTCTTAGAACCAATGGTAAGCAGTTGTCCCTGAGATAGCATTCTGATTCTTCGCTATTTAGATTTCTGAACAACGGATGTGTCATAAATCGCGAATGTTGGGATCGTCTATACTCTTGAGCAACAATACATCCTGTGTAAGACAGCATAAAGCAATTCATGCACTCTATCTTTACCATAACTAGCTGGTTAAGAAAAAGCTCTTCTGTTTGCTTGGACTTCTTAACGTAAATGGCTGCTGATGTGCATTCTGTGCTCAACAGATAATAGGTATCTCCACACTTAGCAACACTTGCTTCAAATGTCTTTCCAATCAGAGACTCATCGCTTCCGGTCAATTCTTTAAATACTAAACCATCAGGAAGCCCTGAATACAACGGCCTGTCTCCATATGCAAGCATTCCACACATGTCATCAAACAGTGCCGTATTGTTGGAAATGCCAGCTAAGCCTATTGAATTTAGACTCTTAAACACCTCCTTATGGTTATTCAATAGTTCACGCACATAATCGAATATAGGCTTTTTTTCAACTTCTAGCTGATTATATAGTGACTTGCACATGCTTCTGCATGCCTCATAATTCCTTGGATGTATGCATGTAGAATCCAATGCTTCTGCTTGTGAAACTTTTGCAAATATTCCAGAATTCACTCTAAGGTATGTCACAAGATTTGTGTATTCAACAGCATTATCGCATATCGATGCAAGATCCTCTAGCTTCTGTACATACCTGAGCTCTTTGAATCTTTCTTTCAAACAAAGGTTATTTGAAATAAGCGATAGAAGCCCGCTGCATCTACTGCTTTTAAGCAAATAGTTAGCATCAACACCAACTACAGACACTGCGGTCAGAATGCCTCTTCTGATAGTTTCGATTGCTTCATTTCTTGGCAATGCACTCTGCGGCAGGTATACAATACCCTTACTTACCAGTTCTGCGTATTCAATTTCAGGGCATAGAATAAGTCTGGCAATACTGCAACAAAATGCATATGTATCGTTGCTCGACATCGTGGCCACTCGATTTTCTACATACACAGGATTCCAAGGCATGATAGTCTTCATCAAGCGTTTTATCGAGATTGTAGATCCACTCACTGCAGTACAGCAGGGATTGAACTGTTCAAAAAACTCCAGTAGCTTGCATTCATCGCTGTCCTTTACAACAATCGATTCCACAAGTTCTCCTTCAAAATCCAGGACAACTGCCTTAAGATATCTCTTTTCTTCAGTTATTCCGCATATATGCATTCCTTCTCCCTTGATGCCAATCGATCCATTTACTATACGATCAATAGTATTCAAAAACAGTCTCCTCTTTGCTTCCTTATTTCTGTTCTCTTCAATTACCAATGGAATAACAACCTCACAGGCATTTTCAATCGCCACAAGAATAATTCTCCTTCGGTGCCTGTTCCACTGATCATCAGATGCCATGTCGCTTTGATACAGCTCTATCAATACTCGTTCTACAATTCCATCGTCAACTCTCATCCCATTCTCTTCATCATCTATGCCGTACTGTTTAAACATAGTGTATACAACATTTCTAAATGTCGGATGGCAAGAAATGGCCATAGCAATTCTGTCTCTCTCTCCTAAAGACAGATCTGCTGACGAATATTCAGGCTCATATACTCTTTTTGCCATTCTTATATTTTCACAAAAATCTTCTACAGAAAGCAATCCCTTTGGTATTTCAACATCCTTCCCACTTTGTTGTTTGTATGATGAATACCATTTAAGCTCTCTGATGCTATTCATCTTGTGGAGAAGTGCATCATCTCCATATTTATTTGCCATGTCTGCTTTTAGTTTTGAAAAATCTTTATGCTCACCAAAAATATCCACAATCATGTATCCGTCTTCAATCCCAATGCCTTCAATTCCATTGTGCAATAGTGCAAAATGTATTGAATAGCCACAGGAAACAAGCTCAATAATTTTCTTTAGTGATACTTGATCAATTTTGAAGTTATTCCGTGCATACATGTATATATCCTCCACATCAACCACTTCTTGTGCCACATAAGAATCTTCTTTATGCACAATACGTTCAGATTTATCTCCTTCAAGCACATATCTGTATTCCTCCCCTGTCCCAAAAATCTCAAAAAACAAAGAATCCTTATCACCATAGTCAACAGAAGACATGCTATCTTCGTCTACATTTTTCTCCTCAAACAAATCCACAAGTGCCTGCTTCTTAGCATGCTGCTTTCTCTTCCTGCTAATGTTGATTTCTTCATCGCTGGAATCATTCATTTCAAGGTCTTTGTAAAAATCATCTTTAACAATAACATTCCATCCCCACAGTATATCGTATATCCAGAGAGGTTCGCTATAGCTCTTAAGAGTCTCAAACATGGATGTATAAAGAATAACTTCTTTTATTGCTCAAACACGATTCTTGTCGAGTTGGTTCAGAATGTCTGCAAACTCAAGTAGAGGATTCAAGGTCTTCGGCTCTTCGGCCCACTGGCTTGGAAGTAGCATCGAAGAAGTGGCTTCAAGCGCTGCAATCGACGCTTTGGCAAAGTTTTCTGTTGTTGGCGTTGCTCCACTACACGATGTGTACACATCCTTTATGCCTGCCAGTTCAAATATCTTCTTATTAACACTTGAAGAAATAATCCCTGCTCCTCTGGGTGCTGGAATAACCCTAACAATTGATGTACCGCATTTGCCTGATGCTCTGCATGACACAGTATGTGGTACTCCTTTGATCCCGTCCCACAGCCCAAGCCTTACTGGCCTGATTGCACATTTCGCTTTTATTATTGCGCCTCTGATTGCTGACGCAGCCTCCTTGGACGACTTTGTTCCTATTCCAACATGCCCCTTCTCGTCTCCAACAACCACTACAACCTTTATTTTGGTCTTTTGCCCTGCTCTAGTTTGTTTCTGAACAGACTTAACAGACAGTAACTCCTCCTTCAAAGAGTTACCACACAAAAAATCAACAATCTCTGCTTCCCTGATGACGTGAGAAAATTTAAATATCTGGTCCAAAGAAGTAACCTTGCGCATCTTCACTAGCTTTCCAAGTGCCGTCTTCGGAATCCATTCATCTTCTCGTCTAACAAACGGCTTTCCAGAGCTTTTTCTCTCAGTACCTTCCATTTTGAGGGTTTCATTATAAGAAATTTTTTGTCAAGCTTATGGCAATGCTCAATGGCACCAAAGCTTACATGCATTCCATTGCAAAACATACAGCTACACTGGGCCTGAATATGTTTATGAGATGCACTGAAACATTTAATTATTTCATTCAAAACAGAGCAAATGTGCAGAGGCGCATGTGTCAAAGCACTTCTATCTCTTTCGCTAACACCAGCTGGAAAGACAATAGACAGTTTTACTCAGGACATGAAGCTTGTTAAAAGCAATCCAGAACTTCTACAGACATTTTATGACTATGTTTCTGAAAAGTACGGAATCAAATGCGAAGCAGGCGTTGCATTGGTTGAGAAAATGACAATCACAAATAGATTCAACGAGTAAGTGCATTTCATTCGTAATTTTAGACTTATGGACATCAGTGATTCCACAAATCAGCTTGTTAATAGAAAGCTTATTCTGTACGAATGGATTAGGCCGGAACATCTTGAGCTTGATATACATCACGAAAATCTGGAGCATCTATCTCAGTCACTTAAAGCCATTCCCTCTCTTTCGACATCTACAGAAAAGATCCTCCATGTAATGCAAACTATAGAAAGGTTGTACCGCATAATAGGCCAGCATGAAGATCAAGGGAAAATGCTTTCTGCAATAATATACTGTATCATAAAATCCTCAGTTACAAACATTTACCTGGAAGCACAATTCATGGCTAAGTACAGAAGGCGTATTGCTGATCCTTGCACGCTTGAGTGTCTACATGGGATAGGAATCAATATACATTGCGATTACCCTGCGCCAAGCATGTATAGTGAGAAAGAGATTACATACTATCTCACATCATTTCAGGCAGCGATAGATTTCATCAGAAGGATGGAGTACTATGACTTGAAAATCAGTGAATCGGAGTTTCACGCAAATATAATGGAAGCAATAAAGCTCGCAAAAGACTTCTAAGCACGGCATTATTACAGAGCATCTAAATGATCCCTCGAATGAACGATTCTAGACCATATGCATGTGCAACATATCAAGACACAAACTCAGCAGGCATGCATAAACTCTTCATTACAAATATTCCAAGTAAGGTTGGAAAGCATTTGATATACGAGCTACTTATGCAAGCATCCAAAGTGGAATCTTTATATTATAATCAAAGGAAAGGATACTGCTTTGCAACATACAAAGCACATGCAGAGTTGGAATACACATGCAACGTTCTTAAAGGCGTAAAGCTTTATGGAAAAAGAATATATTTGGCAATGGCAGAGCAACAATCATGCATTACTGTAAATAACATTGGAAGCGAAGCTGATGAAATTCTTATTTGGAACGTATTCAGCAAGTTTGGATCATGCCATGTAGAAATAACGGATCAAAGGATTGCATTAATTACATATAGAAAAAAAGAGCATGCATCAAGAGCAGTAGCCGTTGTAAATGGGCAGACTATAGGAAACTCAAGAGTTATTGTGGAGCATATGAAAAAGCCGAGTAAGAGCGATGTGTTGCATAAGTAAATCAAGCTTTATTCAATTTTTATTCTTCTCAATCAAATTTAATCCGAATGCGTTTAGTCTTTTTTTCTTTTCTGAATAAGCCTTCAAAGCATCTCTAAGGCAATCGCCATAATTAATTATGGTTGTGTTATCATTTGTTGATCTTAACTCGTGGCTCATGTCAACTATCAAGGAGTTGATTTGATCAATAAGTCCATCTACATTACGGATTTTCAAGAAATAAATATTGTATTTCATGCATTCGATTTGTTTTTCGATAAGCGTTTTGGCATGCTTATACTTTGCTTTTAGTTTTGATTTAGGAAAAGCATCCTCAAAGCTGCTGTATATCTTAAGAGATCTGCTGATTGCATTTACGCCTTTCTCAAGCTTTAATTCCATATTCAATATCTCTAAGCTATTAAGAGGCACTTTCTTTAGCCCGTTTGAATTCATAAATTCATCAATATCAGCCAAATCCTCTGGTGGCAATTCTTTCTTATGTTCTTCATTCGCAGCATAGCCAGGGCCATTTGTGCTGGCCTGCAACTTTGGTGATGCATTGCAATCAAGTGAATCATTTTTGCATCCTGGATTTGAGTTATTGATGCTTGTATACTGGTTTCCGTAGTTAGAAACCCCCGAAGATGAGCAATCTCTTGAGTCTCTGCTGTAATGTAGCACCTTGCTTCCAGAATGTGGATTGTTCATATTTGATTGCAAATAATCGAGCTTGAAAGGATTATCTAGGCCCGTCTCGGCATATGAGGCATCCGTATCAACACCACTCTGCATGTTGATATATTCTGCATTCCTCTCTGACTTCACGCCTGGCATTTCCATTCCTTTAGATATTCCATTAAAGTAATAATCTGTTTTGTGCATGCTTTCATTAAGTCTTGTACGGCTATCATCAAATATATCCATCTGCCCAAGCTGTTTTTCAAATCTCTGTGATAAGTCCATAGTCATTGATGGCCTCGAATTTGTATGCATAGGCCCTGTTTCTCCGTATTTTTGCGGATTGCCATAGTATTGCTGATGCTGTACCTGCTGACTAAAAAATATCGGCGAAGACTTCATTCCCCTTTCTCCGCCTACATGCTTTCTGCCATTTACATTTGCTTTGCTACCAAATACAGACGAAAATCCCATCCATCCGTCTGCCATCGAGCTCGTGCCATTTGAAGAGCTTGCCAAAAATGTGTTTGCTCCCCTTCCTCTACGATTCTGATACGAATTCGAGCTTAGGGTTGATTCTTGAAAAATACCCTGATTGCCATTCATCATATTGGAATGCATGCGATTATTTGTAGTATAGCCTGATGATGTGCAATTGCTACCAGCTCTCATTTGTGATGCGTACATGTTATTCTGCAGATGCATGCGCTGTTCAGAATGCTTTTGTGGTATAAAATACTTTCCTGCATGCAAGTAGTTTGGATTTAGCATAATGCCCTTTTCTTCATTTCTCATAATCGGTGGCTTAATAAAAACTTCGCTCTTTGATCTGCATTCACCTGATTTCATGTTGTATTTCAAATATTCTTGATTTCTATCTACTTCATTCTGCATAGCCATATATGCTCCTTCTCTACAATATCCATTTGATGAAGGCTGTTGCTCAAATGCTGCACTCATCCTCCTTTCTTCATTTATGTGCTGTATATTCTCATGGCTATTCCGAAGCTTATCATTGCCAGCTAAATCTCCCGAAAAGTTCATTGCATACTGGAACCCAGCCCCAAACTCTTGAGCCCCTGTTCCATACGATTTATGCACTGTTTTTTGAATCGTACAGGAATTAGATCTATGTCTTACACTTCCCATCTCTTGTGAAATATATTTCTGAGGCATACCATCCTTTAGAATTCCGTATTCTTCATGCATTTGCATATTTGCATTTCTAATAGATCCAAACCAGTCCTGATTTCCATTCTGCATGCTGCCCAAAACACCAGACTCAGACGCTGCACTACCTGAAAACATCCCATCACCTTCATAGCTATTATGCATATTTAACTCCTGGAAACTAGACCCTGCAACTCTACCTGCCCATGAATCTGATACTGAGCACGGTGTTTCTTGTTTCTGCTCATACCGATGATCCCTCCTCCCTTCACTAGCTGCCTTTTCTATTCTTTTGAATCTTTCATCCATCCCTTTCACATACTCGTCTTTGGTTTTACTCTCTTCAAATATCCTTTGCTCAGCTCTAATTGCTGCTTCCTTAATCTGCCCCATGTCATACCCAGGAAATATATTTGAATTCTTCAATGCAGTAAACAGCTTGAAAACCATCCTCTTTCTTTCATCTTGAGGCAGCATAGGCTCAAAATATTGATTTTTTTTATCCTCATCCCCAATTTATGTTTCAAACTATAATAACATTGCAAGAAAAGTTTAGAAAGCATTTTATTTGATACAATACTATCAACATCCTTAGAAGTCTTCATCGGGATATCTCGTTCAGCTCTCGGATGATTCATCATAAATCCCGATATCATCATATCCAATATCTTTCTTGGAATATTTCCTGTTTCTTTCACTGCGCATCGAGCCGTTGAAAGCAACCCCTTCAGACTTGTTCAAGCAACTTTGAATAATATTCTCATGCTCTAGTATGATCGGCTTAAGCTTATCCGTCGCAAATGTAAAAACATGCCCGCTTTCACTGGCAATTAGAAGAAGAATCTCCGTTCCTGTAAGAATATTCAATTCATACGCTTTCTTCATTATCCCCCTCTTTCGCTTGCTGAAACAGACACTCCTTTTGTTCTTTCCTGCTATGTACTCAAGCTTTATCTTTTTCTTCCCATGGCTTCGTCCTCGAGGTTTTTCAAAAGTAATTGATGAACTCATATTGTTCTGCTCAAAGCCCTGAGCTGATGTCGGCATCCCACTGCCTTGGAATGGTGCCGAAGAAATTGGATGATGATTGTAGTAGTTATATTGATGATCAAATGCATAATTCATGCCTTGGGCTCCCCAGCTGGGATATGGAAACCCTTCAGGAATATTCTCATTCATTCCAAAAAGCGGAATCCCATAATCCATTTCTGCACCTACTTGCGATCCTTCTTGCTCTTCTTTCTTTCCGTGCTTTCTATCCTCTTCCATCTCCTTAAAGGGTCAATTTTCATATTTCTAAAGAGCATCCTCCAATTAGCCCACTCATTCTCCTTTACGTTAAGCCTTTCATTCTACAATACAATCAGTAAATAGCATTTGCATAACAATAGAACACTATATCCCTTTCAATAAATCATAGAAGTTATACTCCTTTCAGCCAACTTCTACAAACAACACATTTATTATCATAAGCTACAAAAATCAGCAGATAATTCCCAATGAATCATCATTCAATGTACCCACAGCATATATCTTAGTAGAGTCTATCTTCGTTCCAATTATTTTCAGTCTGATCATCGTGTTTTTTGCTATTTCGTTCTCTAGCAGAAAATTAGGAATCTGATGGTTCGATATAAACACAGTAAGTGGCCCTACCGATGCAAATACTCCCATCTTATTCGTCTCAACTACACTTGCATCAACTATCTCGCCCTTCAACGGCTTAAGCGTAAGTGCCTTGTATTTCACAGTAAATATCGTTTCTCCGCTTAACAGCACTCTACTATCCCCTATCTCGTCTATTCCAAGAACCATCACTATATATCCATCAGACCCACACGATCCCTCCACTTTCGACAACAGATATTCTTTTATCAATACCTGTATATTCGGCCCAAGATAGCTCGGACTCAAATGGATCTTTTGCAAAAAATCCTTCACAAAAAACATTTCTGCCAAGGGCACTTCATCCAAACATTTAAAACACAAAGTCTAGCCTACTAATGCATTCACTATTCTAACTATAGTGTTTAATTCAAAGCATTTCGCATTTTACCTACATATCTAGTGCAACCGCCATCTATTCTAAACATTTATCAAAATATACAATATCTTAATGCCTGTATAACACTATTCATAAATTGGCTTTCATTAATTTCATGCCACAATCATTCATTGTGTTTCATCGCTATCTAACCATGAATTATCTTATTCCCATTCAATTTACTCAACACTAGAGTTTGATATAATCTGCATCATGCCAAGCTTACACTTTCAATTATAAGTAAATAAAAATTCGTAAAAATCCAATCTATTGACTTTCTGTTTGCTTCAGCTTCTTATTATCCAAAATCTTGCTCTTATTGATATCCAGTTCGCTAATAATTATATTCCTAATCATAGATCTAGACTCCATTATACTCTCTTTCTTTAATAAACGTGCTAGAATAATCAATTTAATATAATTTAATCCATTTCCCATTTATTTGCACTATCTTACATAATAACTTATCATCTATATCGCTATAATGCTATCTACTATCAATGCGCTATTCGATATTTCAATTATTCGGCCACTGATTTCATTCGTAATGCTCTCAATAACCATAAATTTTTTCAATTACATCCTCAAATGCCTCTTTATTATCGCTATAATCGTTTTCCTTTACATATGTCTCTACACTCTCCCCATTAGGTGTAAGTTTGATCATTCCTCTATCAACCTCAATACAAAATCCTTCAGATCATTCACATCCCTTTCTTTATATATTTCCATTATTATAATAATATCTTCCACACTCAATCTCTGGATCTCGTATCCATCCTTCCGAATCTTATGCCTTACAATGCTTGCCATGATTATTGCCAATAATTGCACTTCATTACTGCATACTTATTTATTCTGGCTTTTGCTTCTTATAGACTTAATGATATCTTCATATAAGTACTCTTTTCAGGACTTATCATCACAACATTCTTCAGCAGCTAATCATTGCCATATACCATAAGACCTACGCTCAGCTCAGCTCATTATTATTCTTTGCTTTATCAATAACATCATGCGGCAAATACAACTTCAGTCATTCATAAATATGACTCATTATTCTAGTATTGATGTAATCAATAATCTTTTCCACTTCTTGTGCTTCCAATGTAATACCAAGTAGAAACATCAGCGGCCGATCCGTCATCTCCTTAATTACTTCCTTTTCCATTCTATTATCCACTCCACTAGCTTTATAATTCGTAATAAGACGCTCCAGCTCCTGCTCCATCCCTTCGCCAGTCTCTTTCGATAATCTTTTCGCCAATATCTTGATACATATCCATAGCTTGACTTTATACAATTAATTTTGCATCAGCATTTTCGGTTTTATAGCTACTTAAATACTCAGATACCCATTCATTCACCCCATCATCAATTTTCAGCAATTCAATCTCCTGCCCTTTGTTTCCTTTTTCTTTAGAATCATTTCATCCATCTTTTATATACTTTAAGGAAGGGACAATCGTTCTCAATTTAGCTGCTGCATATACAATATTCATCATAATTCATACATCTGCATCCATGCTCTTAAATCTGCAGTGAGCTTCAATAACTTCCGGTAAAATGCGTTCACAAAATACATCATTTACTATTGAAGCTATTTCATCACTATTGACTTTCATGACTGCCATAAATAAACGATCAGTTTTATATATATTTTTTATAAACTGATAACAAAGAATAGAAAATTCATCAAAACACTCAACCTTATCTCTATAATCATTATTTCTAATTATATTATCTAAATATCTCACATCATCAATGAACTCAGTAAGCCACATATCAAATTCAGCAATCAAAAATCTTATAATAAAAAATAATCGTATATTTTTTTGTTCTTGGCTATGCATTATTACTTTACTATATTCATTATAATTGATAATCGATCCTGCAAGAATATTATTCCTTTCCTTCGCGGCTCTGGCTTTAATCGACTTCCAATCATCATCCCAAATATCAAAATTTCTATGTAGCATCCTCTTTTGCTTTTCAAATTCTAGATCACTTCCAAGCAAATCTTTGCAAATGTATTCATAAATCGTTATATCAATATTCGGTTCATCCAGAAACAACAGCAATAAAGCATTATTAGGTTATTTTGTCAAAATAACTATGCCAAAAGGTATCATCCATAGATTCATATACAATATTAACAATCCAAATACAAATTCCTCCACTTCTTCGTTAGTAATCGGCTTATTACTTTTCTTGCCAAACATTTTTGACATTAAAACATACTTGTTATTCTGTATACTGCCTATTCGTGATTTAATCTCATTCATTTCCTTTTCATCAAGTGCATCCGCTTTTTTCAATAGCAATTCAATATCAGATATCGTAGGATATATTGATTTAGCATATATCTACATTCGTTTAAATAAAGTAGCTATGCTCCTAATAACAATTTTTTGTATTTATTATCTGGATAAACATTGGTTGCTATACAAAACTTGCTTATATTCATGATAGCATTCATATACTGTTCAAAATTAGATAAGCATGATTCAATAATTGACAAAATCGTGTTTATAGATTTCATAAGTTCTGATTTATCAATCATGTACACGATATTGTTATTTTGCTTGTACTTCTCTAAATATCACTAAGCATAGCAGGATCGTTATTTCTCCATACTTCATAAAAATTAATAGCAAGTTTCTCTTCATTCTTAGAATCCATTTGGGATACTTTGCATTTAAATTCTGTGCACAGTATCCATATCCATGCTTATATCTATATCTACGGCTTACACCACAACAACGCAAGCACCATGATACACCTCCACATCACATATATAGCCGATGGAACAATTAGCGCTCCACTTTTCACTTCATGCCATTTGTAATGCAACATCCACTCATACTCATTCATTCACAATACATTTATTTATACACTCTTCACGCACTACTCTCAATCATCATCTTTCGCTGATTGATTTCAACCGCTGCTATGGGCTTGCTGCTGTCATCCATCTTTTGATTTATCAAATCTTTCATCATCTCTTGATCTATCATGTCTTTATAGGTCAATGTCAGCATAAACAGTATCAATAGCACTAATGCATTCTTCACACTATAATTCTTCTCCACCCCACTATTCAATGCATTGCTTCCAGAATTGTTTATGATCGCTCCAAGATGTGGCAATGCTTTGATAGCCTCTTCAACATTTTTCTCACCTTCTTCTTTGCTCAACCTGTAATCCTTATTAATATGCTTTTTACATACACTTTTCACAACAGTATACATTATCTTCTTCAATTGAGCAGGTTTCATTTCATTCAGCATCTTATCGAAAATCTTTATTTGATAACTTATACTCTTATTATTACGTTTCAATTCTTTAAAGCGCTCATTATACTTTATTACCACTGTTTTATCTATTTCATGAAAAATTAGATTAGCAGGATCTAACATCCTAATCCTTTTGATCAAATACATGCATATCTTCTTTTTGATCTCGTTGCAAATGATTGCTATTTGATCATATACTTCCTTGTATTCCTCCCCTTTTAGACCCTCAGCATCATTTATCATCTTATTCATCATGTCTATCAATTCATACAGGTATTTGTTACTGTAGCCATCTATTTTACATTTGTCTCTTTTCATATTGCGTATTATTCCATTCATACGTCCTGTATTTCCCGGAATCATTCTGTTTATTGTTTCAATTATGCATATGATATCCTCCCATTTTTCAACCACTCCAGACGATTCATTTGTCCAGGCATCATGAGGGTCATCAGTGTTGTTCATATTCAATGCATTACTATCTGCCAATTCGTTGATTACCAACTTATCAAGTATTTTTAGTATATCCATCATTTTTTGCATATCTGCTTTATTTTTTTCCAACTTTGCATAATCACTACTATTAAA